GCCCTCCACAACTAAGATTGAAGGGCAACAACTTGGCTGTTCCCCTTCCCCAATTCCCCAATAAAATCTTCAAAAAAAAAGAGTGAAGGTGAGCCCAGCCACTTCAGACTCCTCTAACACTGCTCAATATTTTGCTTCAATAGCGGTGCTTTTTGCACACAGCATCTTCATTTGTCAGTTTTAAGGCTCGAAGGTATTTGGCCCACACATAGGGAATAAAAACCATTTTGGGCATATCTTGGCTGTTGAGAACTGAAGATTCCTCAAACAATTTCCTGCTGCCAGCAGCAAGGGTGGTACAAAGAGCTGCCATTGGACAGACCATTGAACAATACCAAGATTCCCTAAAGATGGACTTAACAACTTGTAGCATCTGCCTTCAGTCATGGAGACCATCACAAAAACACACTCTTGTGTGTCTATTCGAATAGCATCATAAGGCAGGCATTTATTCCACATGCATTGAGCTGAATGGAAATCTGGGAACCAGGGTAAAGAGTGCAAAGGGGTCCCCTGCACCCTCAGTCCGAATTCATCTCCTCTTTTTAGAGGAAATCAACACTTAGACAGCATGTGCCAAAACAAGCATCTGTCATCATTTCCTGTCCCATCATTCCCTTGTGTATAGAGATCTTTGCTGGTAATGAGATGGTAGAATCTTTGCAACTTGAGGAAGCCTTGAAAGAGTGTTGCTTTTGGAGTCAGTGCTCTTGGGTTTACATACTATTCTGCCACTTAATGATCAGAGACCTTCGGCAAGATACTTAACTGCTTTTTCCGTTTGTGGTTTAATCTTGGCTTATTCCCAAGATGGTCATAAGGATTCAATCCTCATAGCACATGGATGGCTGTTCAATAAAGTAAACATTAACTCCATTGTTCTTTCCTTTTTGAGGGAATGGACGATGTCTGTTATTTCTGCATGACTAGCTCCTAGCGGATGTCTTGGCACGTGCTAAATATCAGGATGCGTGTGGGATAAATTAATCTTATAATTTCTCTTGTACAGTAAAATCCCTCACTCTGTGTTGGTCATCTAGTTGGTTTTCAAATACATTTTGAAAGAAACATGCTTTTTTTAAAAAAATTCAAGTTTAAGTTATTTACATAAAGTTATTCATTACTATACAGAGGGTGCCAAAAAATGTACATATACATTTTAAGAAAGGAAAAACTGTATTAAAATTGTAATACAATGAATGACGCTAGCATTCATTTGATTAATGCTTTCTTTTGAGCAAACATCATACTATGCATTGCTACTATAAATTCAACTCAACTTCAAAAAGTAATACATAATGTCTCTTAAAATGTATACATTTTTTGGCACCCCCAGTATATTATATACTTGTACTTATATATTTATAACATAGTTATATGTAATTTATTTTCTATAATATGTAACATGTATTATACACTATATGAGTATATAATTATATACACTTATATATAGTGTATAATACATACTATGTATGATTATTTACATAAAGTACTCAAATCTTGAAAAGACAGCTCAGTAAATTTTTACATATGTATATACAATAATGAAACCACCACCTACACAAAGATACAAAACATTTCCATTCCCCCAGAAGATTCCTTCATGCTACTCCTGAGTCCATACTCACCCTGCCACAGGTAATCATTATTCTGACTTCCGTCGCTATAGATTAATTTTGCTGTTTCTTGGACTCCAGATAAATGGAATCATACAGTGCGTATACTTTGTTTCTGGCTTCTTTCACTCAACAAATGCTGTGAGATTCATCTATATTGTCACGTATGTTGGGATGTTGGTGGGTTGGCTGCCCTGCTTTGGCTTGGTACTGCCTGCCACAACCCTCACCCCAACCCCCACCCATCGTCTATGATGCTGCTGTTTTCATTCTCCTAAAGCACAGCTGCTCCTTCCCTACCAAATAACATTCAAAGACTCACCATTTTCCACCAAAGAAAGTCCAAGTTCTTACACAGACCTGTTCTCCTGTCCCTCCCCACCCCCAGAATTGTGCCCTTCCATATTTATCTCCCATTGCTCCCTTCCACAAATCCGACCGTTAAATCAAACCAAAGCTATTCTATGTACAGTAATACCTTGGTTTACGAGCATAATTCATTCCAGAAACAAACTGCTTATATTGCAAGACATTGCTCGTTTACTGTGTTAAAGTGTATTAGAAATGTTTGCTCGTCTTGCAGGCACTCGCAAACCACGTTATTCGCAATCCAAGGTTTTACTGTAGTAGTTTTTTTTGGTCTATCTCTGCCTCCAGACTACTGTACCCCTCTTCCCTCATCTCCTGTCAAAATATTTCTTGACTTTCAAAGCCCAGTTCAAATGAAATCTCCTTTGTGAAATTGTTTCTGGTTTTTCAATGCCCAGGGCACTTCGCTGCATTAAGGGTAAAAGTGAATAGCCAGCAAAACAGAAATCCCAGCTGAGCCTCCAGTGAATGTACCTTCTCTGGACCTGTCTGATGAGTGGGGAGCCTACCCATTTGCATGACCCACCTGCAGGAGGGAAAGGGGGACTGTAATGAAGAGGTTAATACAGAGGTTCCTGGAAGCCGACAAGGGGAAATGGAGAACGTAGTATGAGGTCTGTCTCTCACCCAGACTGGTCCGAGACTGGCTGGTGTCTGGACCCTATGGATAAAGGAGATAAGAGGCAAAAACTAAAGGAGCTGTTTTCACAAGAGAACCTTTAGAGAGAAGGGGCCCAAGCAAACTTGGATTCATGTGCCATCCAGAGTGTAATGCAAAGACAGAATGAGAGGGAGGTGCTTTTCTGTGCTTACCACTGGGCACCATCCAGCATGGCATCTCATGTGCTCCAGCAGCCCAACCACTGTTGGAAGCCCATGGAGCTGGACAGAACGCAGGGAACCACATGCAAGCAGACTCATTTGTGAACTCATATGAAGTCCCAGAATCCCAGGGAATCCCCTGAAATTCTTTTTTTTTTTAACATTTTTTTTTAACTTTATTGGGGAACAGTGTGTTTTTCCCAGGACCCATCAGCTCCAAGTCAAGTTGTCCTTCAATCTAGTTGTGGAGGGTGCAGCTCAGCTCCAAGTTCAGTCACTGTTTTCAGTCTTAGTTGCAGCGGGGGGTGGGGGGGGGAACGCAGCCCACCATCCCATGCAGGAGTCAAACTGGCAACCTTGTTGCTAAGAGCATGCGCGCTAACCAACTGAGCCATCTGGCCGCCAACCGGCAGCTCAGCTCAAGTCATTGTCTTCAATTTAGTTGCAGAGGGTGCAGCTCACTGGCCCATGTGGAAATTGAACCGGCAACCCTGTTGCTCAGAGCTCGCGCTCTAGCCAACTGAGCCACCCGGCTGCCCCCTCCCCTGAAATTCTTGAAGACCGCTTTCTAGATGGCCAAGACTCTCTATAAGCAGCCTGGGGGCAAAAGTCTGTGGGATTTGGATTATTATTGTTGATTTAATTTCATTTATGTGTACAGACAGGTAAGGCCTGGAAAAACTTGGGTTATGATGACATTCCTTTATGCTTTGAAATGGTTTAAAACTTCTCTCCATGTAAGTACCTGATTTGATCCTCAAAACAACCGTGTGAGGTGGATATTTTATCACCCGGTTTTCCCCATCACAATGGATTTGAGCACAGTGTTTATGGTGGAAAGGGCCCAGGACTTATCAGCAGACCTCAATTTGAGCTCTTACTCTTCTGCATACAGCTGGGTGATCCTGGGGACATCCCAACCTTTCTGAACTTCAATTTCTTATCTGCAGGATGGGAATAACAATCCCTTTCCCATGCAGATGCCATAAAACTCTTAGATTATGAACAACTCCTGCACAATGGTAAGAAATGATTATGGCACATGACTTTCTACCATCACATCCATGGGCTGCTATAAATCAGTTGTTCCTATAGCTATCGCAACAGACTAAAAATACTGAGCCTCTTCTTGCTTTACTCATCTCTGTGTCATCCTGTCCTGCACGGAGTTAAATACGCAGCAGGATGGTGTGGACTTTCCCATCGCTAGTAGGGGTGTGGTAGAGAGGGCCCAAACCTCAGAACTGCTTGGACTAAACCCCAATATGGAGAGGCTAAGATTACTTTTTTTTTTTTTTAAAGATTTTTATTGGGGAATTGGGGGGATGGGAACAGTGCTGGGGAATTGGGGGAGGGGAACAGACAAGTTGTTGTCATTTTGTTCTTCAATCTAGTTGTGGAGGACGTTGCTTCACTGTCCCAAGTTGGCACCATCATTGCGCTCTTCCGGGGTGAGGCAGATCAGTCGCCGGCTTCTGGACGGCCACTCACTGCGGCTGCTGGCCTCTCACACTGGCTGCTGGCTACACACGGTAGCCCATGACAACCCACTGCCACAGGGGCTGCAGCCTACGCCGTGCCGGCGACTCACAGCAGCCCAGCTCCAGGTTGAGCTGTTGTTCAGCATCTTAGCTGTAGAGGGCAGTGTCACTGGCCCTCATATGTGGGATCCAAACCGGGGCCCTCTGGCGTCCCAAGCCAGGGCTTAACCATCGCGCCACTCCGCCGGTCCTTAAGATTACTTATTAATCAGATATATAATGGACACAGATATAACAAGTCAAATCAAGTTTCCCAGGAATATAATACCTGGCTAAGACAGACAGAACATCAGCCACTAATAGCACGGTGGGCAAACTATTCCATAAAGGGCCAGAGAGCAAACATTTTGGGCTTTGCAGTCACGCGGTCTCTGTGGCAACCCCTCAGCTCTACCAAATTGTCAGGACAGCAGCCACAGAGACTACGTAGGCAAATGGGAGTGGCTGTATTCCAACAATCAGCGTTTTAAAAAAACAGACGGTGGTGGACCATCTTTGGCCCTGGGGCTGTGTAGATAGCCATCTCCTGAGACAGAGGTTTGTCCTGTCACCAAGGAGGATTTATAACACAAGAAGCTCAAAGGAAAACCAGGTGGTGACACAGGATAGGTAAGTGGAAATCAACGCGTCCAAGGGAAGTTCTCCATTAAGTTTTAACAACGAAAATGAACACATACGTAACTGGAGCCAGAAGAGGTTTCATGTAACTATCTACTGAGTTGGGTGAAAACAAATTTTATTCTAGAAGTTTCAAAAAGAAAAAAGAAGACTGTGGGCTTTTAGTCACCTGAACACTTACTATGGGCCAAAGGAGTGTAAATGTGGCTCCTTAGAAAATCTAAGGAGCTCCAGATCCCATGGAAAGGGTACAGAACAAACAAGGTGACAACCCCAGAGAAGCGGACCTGTGTCTGCCTGAGTCACCACTGGACCCCTCACACCCACCCCAGTGCCCACAAGGGCTGCTCCCCGGGAAACGGTCATTCCCAAGATCTGCTCTGTGGGGAGCAGCTGGAAATTTGAGTGTCTGGTCTGTGCATCTCTGTGCTGGATTTAAACACGAAAAAGGGGTGGTGGAGCTAAGAGTTGAAGGCGGTATCCAGGCGAAGAGGGGAAGGGCACAGCCCCAGAATTGATTCTGATTCTCTGGCTGGGTTCTGTTCTACTCTCCTTCCTTCAATATTCCAATTAAAATGCAGGTTTCTAGAAAAACGGGTAGGGAGTGGGAGGAGGTAAGCATACGTTCTAAGAAGTCTTAACGGTTAGCTTTGTTTTCTGACAAATGTACTCCCTCGCCTGAGAGAGAAGAATCTAATGTGTTGCCAAGTTTAAGGAAACATTTGGAGTATCTCAAATGAGGCCATAAAGAAAGATGGATTGGAGGAACTGGTAGGTAGGTCTACTGTGGGAGTTCTCATAGCCACCAATAATCCCCTTGCACAGGAACTAATTATGTTTGGAGAGGATGCATTCGCCCGATAAAATAATTAAAAATAAATTGCTCTCCGTGGAAATGCAAATTACCGAGTGTTAAAGCAATGCTGTTGGTCACATAGATAATAAATAGAGGTGTTTTCTCAAGTCTGTTAGGTGACACTGATTGATTTTCATTGCTGCCTATGACAGAGCCTGAGCAGCTTTTGAAACAAAGGTGAAAGGACCTCAGGCCAGAGGGGTCAGTTGTTATCTCCTGGGGGACAGTTGTTAAAAGCCTTAAGCCATGACACTGCCCATACCCCCACCCCCAGGACTTCTCCTGGCTGAGAACAGGGGATACTGAGGAACCATGCTTGACCCACTGCTCCCCCTGAACTCTTAGCTCCTGCTGGAGGGGGAGGGGATGGCAGCACTGTTGACCCCTCTTCCCCCAAATAACTGCCACAACACCCTTTCCTAACACCTAGCACTGTCAGGTCAAAGAGAATAAAGCTTTGGCTAAGCACCAGGAGCCAGATGGCCCTTTTGGTGTCGAGAGGAAGGGGGAATATGAGACAGTGGAGGGCTGACTGGAGCACTGTTGCAAAATTTAAAAAAAAAGAAAAAAAAAGTTTTCTTTAGCAATGACTTAGTATGTCTTATAGAGAAATAGAAAGAAAGAAACTCAGGCTACAAAATGCTTTATATTTCATCAAAGAACCAATATTGATTAAGGGCCTACTATGCAGACAGAGCTTGCCCTTGAGTGGCATTTATAGATGGGATAGAGGAAGAAAACTGGATTTCTGTCTTGGAGGAAGTCACCTTTTTTTTTTTTGGAGGCAGATTTGATGGCAGGAAGGGCATCGCGTTGCAGACATCAGGCCTTTTCTTACTCCTCTTATCTGGAGGCAAAAGACGACCTGGAACAAGCGTGGACGCTGGTGTTTTCCAGGGAATCGGTGATGTAAGAGGAGGAGAGCAGAGAGGGAAGTCTCCCCCGGGTTTGGCCACAGGGTCTCGTTTAATCCCCAGAGGCTGCGGAAGGGCGGGACTTCTCTCCCCACAAATGGGGAACCCGAGCCTCCAGGAGGCGTGATGAACAGAAAACAGGGTAATGATGCCATCTAGCTCCTGGGAGGGATGCAAGGGGTAGATGAGGTCACACACAGACACACGTAGCAGTGCCCGGCACCACATCCGTGCTCAGTAAATGTCCCCTCTGATTCCTAGGTAACTTACCCAAGGCCACAAGCACAGAGAAGGGCAGAACCAGGGTTCGCTCACACCCCGGTCAGCCCAAGTGCAAAGTCCGCACTTTTCCCACAGTGTTGCAGGTGCCTCTAGGATTCAGTTGTCTCCCTCTTCCTCTCCCTCTTCCTCTCCCCTTCTGTCGGTGGGCCTGTCTGTAGCCCCTGTCAAGTCCATCCAGAAAGCCTTGTCTTTCTGGGCGTTTAGACTCAGTGCTGACAACTTCCTGGCCTTCCAGTATAAGCAGAGGAGGGAACCGAGCAGGACAATGAACACCAGGAAGGGGCAGNTGACACCATTCCTGCCACTTTAGCAATCACCTGTTTCTGACGGCAGAGCTGGAGGATGGCTAAGTGGGGCAATTCTGCTCACTTGAATGGTTTTGTGTTTAAGTTGTTGTATACTCTACCTAAGTGCTGTGGGCTGAATTTTGTCCCCCAAATTCATATGTTAATGCTCTACTTCTCAATGTGAGGGCATTTGGAGATGGGGCTTTTGGGAAATAATTAGGTTTAGAGGAGTCACAAGGGTGGGCCCCTCATTATGGGATTAGTGCCCTTATAAGAAGGGACACCAAGGAGCCAGCCTATCTCTCTCCCTCCCTCTCTCCTTCTCTCTCCCTCCCTCTCTCCGTCTCTCTCCCTCCCTCCCTCTTTCCCTCTCCCTCTCCTCTCCCTCTCTGCCATGTGAGGACACAGTGAGAAATTGGCAGTGTATAACCCAGAAGGAGGGCCCTTGTCGGTCAGCTGGCACCTTGATCTGGGACTTCCCAAACTGTGAGAAAACAAAATTCTGTTATTTAACCCACCCAGTCTATGGTATTTTGTTACGGCAGCCTGAGCAGACTAATACAAATTCCCAAGCTAACTATTTGCTATCTGCCATAACATTTGTTTTTGCAAATGTGCCATTTGCACTCACATCTACATGTAAATTGAATTAGCTAATTAATACAGGTGTAAAGTACCTCAGGATCGGAGTCTCTGGTGACTTCATTTCCCATTAACTCCCATATATTTATATATTTTCACTTGGAACTCCCGGGTTAAACTATCCTGGCTTCTCATTTAACCGTAAAGCACTCAGACAATTTTATCCAAACGTTCCTCTCTCCACGTTGCCTTGATACCCTGACTCTTTCCCAAAACTTGACTTACCCTTCCCTAAATTAGTCTTTTAGACTAATAGGACCCAAGCAATGATCCCATTTTGTGACCAAGCCCATGCTCCCATTTCATCCTCATGCCCTGTTCTCTCCACTATCATGTTAAGAATTGGATAGTAAAATGCAGGTATTGGTTTCCTTTTCAGGAGTCGAAAGGATTAAAATGGCCGCTTATCACAGATGTCAATAATGATAATGATGATACTAAATATTTATGAGTTCTAACTCCTTTACATGTAAATCTCTCATAATCCTTACAACAAACCCTATGAAGCAAATGGGTATGATCCTCATTTTATAGGTGAAGGAATTGAGGCAAAGAGAGATTAACTGCCAAAGACTACACAGCCCGTGAGTGATGTCATCGGGATTTGAACCTAAGCTGTCTAAATCCAGAGCTCACATTCTCGACTACTAAATTACTGATGTATTCATTGGGCATATCATCTAAAAGGGGCAAAAAGTCCAAATGGAAGACCCTAACGGGGGTAGTTAGCAGCCTCAATTGTACCTCGCTGAAGCTTACTTCAGATGAAGGCTCAAATGTTGACTATTTCTTTTGTGTGGAAAGTTTACTACAATAAATATCACAGTTGCCATTTAGCCTTCTGTCGCCAGGTGGGGCGTCTCGTGGTTTACTCCATTTGAATCCTCCATACTTAACACTCCACTGAATACCTTCCCTCCATCAGGAAAAAAAGTTTCAAGTGAGAAACTTAGAGGTATGTGTGTTATGAGCTGATATTGGACAGAGCCAGTAACCCTTATTCAAGAGTGAAGCTGAGGGTCCGGNGGTAGCTGTGCTTGCATTGGAAAATTGTAACAATGGAAGCAATTTCTTCTTCAAAGGTTAAGCTGTAAGATTCCTGGGATTACAGGCTCTTAGAGATGAAACCACAAGGTTTTGAGGTCATTTTGACCAATCTCATTCTGGAAGAATTCCACTTTAAGCATTCCTGATGCATTTTGCACCTTGAAGAATGTCTCTGTTGGAAGTCAAGAAAGAATCTCAACAGTGGTCCAACTCCTGCACTGTGAACTCCTGGAGGACAGGTCCTTTGACTTACGCATCTTTTGATTTATGCAGCACTTTGTCCATAGGTCATCAGTGGAGACTGATGAATGAATCAACTGCACGAGTGAATTCCACACACAGGAACCCAGGGGCGGCTGCCATCTTGTGACACAGAGTAACAATCAACACTGAACATGAGGCTGGCAGCTCTGACCAGGGCTGGCAAGGAGCTGCAGTTGTTGCCTGAATTTTCTCTGGTCTCATTTATATTCTCCATCTTAAATTTCGTTTTTGTTTTTGAACGGCTGGGCAATAAGGAAGCTAAATTTTAAATCCTTTATCGCCCCCTCTCCACATCCTACTTGAGCCCTGTCTCCAAGGCCCTGCTTGACAGTAATTCTCCCAGGTCTTATCTGAATCCATTTGGAGACAGATGGTTAAGAAGGAGGTACAGACACTGATGCTGAGAGAATGGAGCTGGAGACCAGTGGGTAAGAGTATCGGCCTTGATAATTCACACTACTCAAGTGCAGAGTAGTGATTGGGCATCTACTACATCTTGAAGAGAGCTGGGTTCAAATCCCGGCTCTTCTACTTACCACTATTGAGATTGGACAAGTTGCTTATCCTCTCTCTAATCATGAGTTTCCTCATCAATCAAAATAGGATAATAATTTCCAGCACTGTGATTAGATAATACATAATAAAGCACTTAACATAGTGCCTAGTGCACTTGTTAAGTCAGCGAAGAATAAATATCAGCCAGAATACTACTGAGAAAGTCAGGAAAATCACAGGCAGCACTCTTCCGAGAGACTGGGTATAGCTGCACCTGCTGATTCCTCCCTCAGGGGCCACAGGCTTGGTCATGTTCAATCATGTCAGGTCTCTCCCTTAAATCTCTGAGCCCTCTGCTCACAGGACTGGGTGACACTCAGCTGAGAGTCCAGTACTTGCTTAGAAGGCTCTGGCTTCCTTTTCCAGTTAGGGGAGACAGATAACTGGGAGGCGAGAGTCACAGCACCCACGTATCACTACTGCTGGATGACGGAGTGATGATGGGGCAATGGGGCAGGCGCACAGAAGGCGGAAAGAACTCTGGTACTTAGCTTTTCTGCCACGTAGACTCTAACCTTCAATGCGAAGGGACTGCCAGAGGGCTTGGCTATCTTAATGGGGAGGAGGCTGCTCCGCCTACAACAATCTACCATCAAAGGACAGCAAAGCGTGCTCTTCACAGTGCTGGACTAGCCAACAGCTAGCAACTGTCAGCTCCAGCGCTTCTAAATTACCCGTCCTGGGAGGACAGTATTTGCTCTGATTCCACAGTCACCATTTCCCACCATCTGCCTCTCATCCATATCTGGATTAGAATTAGTGACATTCAAAACCATTAAGGTTTGGCATTTTGAATTAATCTGAGTAAGTGCCCAAAGCTCAAAGTACAAGGCCTTCAAGACAGAGCCAAAAATGTAATGAGAACACTTCATCATGAGGTGTAGTTTATAACGTGCTTCCACCCACAGCCAAACACATCATGAGGTCCTTCTTGATATTACCATAGAAATACTGACTTCAGAAGGAGAAAGGTATAGGATAATCAGGGGGCTACCAACTCCTCCCCCACCCCAACCAAAACTTGGGCAGCTGACTATGCCATGTAGGGGAGTTGGCTCCTGCCATGAAATAAAAGTAGGGCCACCTCCCCGGAAGCAAATGCATCCCAAAACAAGTGAACCCCCTGACAGCAATCTGTTTCTACCCATGGAAGACTCACTTGCTCATTCTTTCATCAAGCATTTGCTGAGCGCTATGTGTCAGGCCCTGGTGGAGGCACTGAGGTACGATGGGTAAATGGCATGGTCTCTCCAGAAACTTCAGTGTGGGAGGGGCACATGTTTCCTTTGAGGATTCACTTTCTAAATATATCCTTACCCCAATAAAAGCTAGGAAATAGTAACAAACAACCATACTACTACAAATAATCCAGTCCCCAGAAAGCCCTATCGTTTTGCCTCTTAATTAATCACAGAGAATCTTGAGAATAAGACATTTACGTCTGGGGTCTGAGGATGAGGTTAAAAGACCCAGGTAACTGGACCTCCTGCTTTGGCTTAGTCATAGCTAAGGAAGGACGATGGAGAAGAAAACGCAAGGTCCGTTCCCCCAGGGAAATGCCTCTTAACTTTTCTGCCTTCACTTGAACCATAGGGTCCATAGTTTTATCATGGAGTCCTAAACTAACCCACCCTAGAATCGCCGAATAGGGGTGGTAGAAAACCTTTTGTGAAGCGAGAATTGGTAGTGTATTATGTTTGACCTGGACTTCATTATGACACAGAGCTGGTCCTTCCCAGGAGGGCCAGTACACTATGATTCGAGCATCTTCTATGTATGTACCAGGCCCTAGGCTAGTGCTGGGAACGAGAGTCTCAGAGTCTCTGCCGTCTCAGAATGTACAGTTGAACAGTGCAATGGATGTTAAACAGGTGTGATGACTAAGAGAATAAGGTAAGTCAACTCAGAAAGTGAAGTCGGTAGGTGAAGTTTGAGTAGACGTTGACCAGGGAAAGCTGGCATGGAGGGGCACTCCAGTCAGGAGGCGGTATGTGTTCATGCAAGATGTTGGATGGTCCCTCTTATCTGTTCTCTTCCTCTTCATCTTCTTCCTCTCCACTGGCTCTGTCCCCTCTAGAATGTAAACGCTCTCAAGTCCCAACCATCATCAAACCAAAAGCAAAGTTTCACCGACACCTCTTGCCACTTGTTACTGTTGTCTCTTTCCCTTTACATTAAAGCTCTTAAGTGTAATCTGCACGTGATGCTCCATCTCTTTCATTCAGTCTGCCTTCCCTCATTACTTTTCTGCAATTGCCCCATGTTGTTAAATCCAGTGGATATGTTTCCATTCTTAGCTTAACTGACCTCTTTGCAATAGTTGAGCCTGTTGGCTCTCGCTTCCCTCTTGATCCCCTCTCTACCTTTGGTTTCTGTGCTACCACCAAACCCTGGTTCTCCTCGGCTACCCCTTCATTCTCCTTCACAGGTTCCCCTGATTTAAAAAAAATGGTGGGGTATCTCAGGGGTCCATCCCTGGGCATCATGGTTGGCTTTAAATTGGTGGCATCTAATCTAGCAGTCTGGCAAAGGTCTCATTTGGAAGTTCCCAATGTCTACTGGGCAGCTCTCCCTAGATAACTCACAGGCCCTCCAAACTCAGGTCTAGCCACGTGTTCAAACTTGAACTAATCTCCCCCTTCAGCCCTTTCTCCTGTACTACTTCATTTAGAGAATGCCCCCACCATCCACATTGGCCAGAAACCTGATGTTCATCCTCGAGCCTCCCCTCTCTCATTTATCCCCCCTTCCCCACATACATCTGATCGTCTCTAAATCCTTAGGAATACACCTCCTAATACTGATTTCCTGTCCTATGCTCAGCCCTCACGGGCACTGCCTTCATTCAGGCCTTTGTCTTGTCTCCTCTGGATTCTACGATCAATATCAAATAGTTCTCCCTGCCCTGCGTCTGCCTCCCTTCCAGTTTATCACCATCACCGCTCCTAGTGGGGAGCTTTCTAAAATCTCATGCATCCTTCCCTTGCTTGATCTTGTTCAATGGCGATACGCAACTTTCATGATAAAGTTCACCTTCCTTAGCTTTCTATGCACGACACATTTGAGATCTGGACCCTCCCTCGTGTCTGGCCATCATACCCTTTCTATGACCATCTGACATACCCTTTCCTTTTCCTAAAATAGGTTTCTTTTTTTTATAGGCCCCGTACTCTGGGGAACCTTCCCAGACCTCCTCCCCACCCAGCCCTTCTCCCTGGCCCTGCCTCTGGTCCCCCTGTAGCATCATGAGATGACTTCTTTGGCAAGACTTCTCAGGTTGGGCTTCATGTCCCCACCAGACTCTGAGCTCGGTGGGGACAGACTCCGTAATACATGGTTTTGTGTCCTTACAGCCTCCTGTAGTTATTTATTGAACAAATTAAAATATTTTGTTACATAAATGGACATATACATATGTATGTATGTATGTACATACGTGTGTGTGTGTGTGTGTGTGTGTGATGTTTGGAGGCATAAGAGGAAAGGAGTTAACATTTGTTGAGCACTTACAATATTCCGGGGGCTCTGCTAGATACTTGCTTTCATAGCTAGCAGGCAGGCGGTAGAGCCTCGGCTTGTCTGATTCCCAATCCTGAAATTTTTCACCTCCCCACACTGCCTCCCCAGCTGCCAGAAAGGCACACCCAGGTAGAGAAAGTGAGATACCATATTACAAGGATTTCGTTGGGAGCCCTTAACTGTCCTTATAATGAAAACCCCCAGGTTGTCATGGCACAGGCTTTCAAGCTTCTGCCAATGAGAAGGATATAAACCCCACTCAATTTTTAACATTTCCTTTCCAGGGCTCCTCTGTTCAAAACCTTACACCTGTTTTATAAGGATTCCACAAAGATGAACAGTATGTACATGGCATGAAGGATCCCATCTGGCTCAAAGATGTGCTTTCTAGTTACAGAATATATACTTTTTACAGTTATTATCTAGCTATTCTACTGTTAAAACTGTCGATTCTACAGAGCCTAGGAATTCCATTGGGAAGACGTGGATGGAATGTATGGGGGGATAGGACTTGCTATAATTGTTGAAATGGAAGAAAGGTGATAGGAAGAAAAATACTGCCTGGAGGCCTGGGGGGAAATTCCTGCTGCAGACTGGACAGGAGAAGAGGATGATGGGCCCCCAGGGACCAAATCAGAGCACTCTGACTTCCACTCTAGAAGCCTTGCTGGGATAACTGGGCTGCCACTCTCCCCACTTCTCAGAAGCATCCCTATGTTCTCGGCAGCACTCTTTCCCTCCTAAGGAGTGTCACCAAAGCTAGCTGGTGTTCTGGAAAGGTCTACGGAACTGAGACCACGCCTCTACCTCTCCAATGGCCCTTTTCCATGGTAAGTTTAGTGTATAACTCACCTCTCACCTTCTCCTTCAACGCCACCAGGAGGAAGTGGCTCAGAGAACGAACATCTGCTAGCTATTTCATCGCCAGGAAAGATTTACTGGTCTGGCTGGAGAAATTTTTGCTTTCATTAACAAATGCTTAATAAGTGCCTATTATATGCTTGGCACTGCACTGGCTAGAAGGGTTCCCTCTTCTCCTCCACAATCTCCTGTTCCACATCCCTCCTGAAGCTGTGCACTCAGCTGAATAGGACGACCTTCCCACACAGAGAAGGGTCATTCATCCTTGGGCAGGTCTGGGTCCTTGCTGGAGCCTGTAAACATGGCTGACAGGGTGCACTCACTCCATTCTTAAATGCCTTTCAAGGTGCAATCAGGGGATACACCGTCCTCATCAAAGTCCCAGGAGAGATAAGAAACTGGTCACTTATTCATTGAGAAAGGTTTTACTTGTTTGTTTTGCTTTGTTTCTGACTCGGGGAGCATTTAGATGGAGCTGCTGTTGGTTCTCCCAGGTCAAACGGAGAGTCACCATGTCCCTCTCCCCTCATTCCCACTCCTATGGCAGAGCAGCGTCCTGAGATTCCAGAGCCAGCCAAGAGGTAAGGATGTCAGCTTCAAACGTTGTTTTGTTGTTTAAAGGGATATCATGTTGAGGGCTTATTTGTTTGTTTGTTTCTTTCTTTCTTTGGGAGGCGAAATGGGGAGCATCTAGACGCCCCTGACATTTCAGCGTCTATGCCAAAACCTCAGGTAGGCCTGGTGTGTCCAACTGAGTTACTATTGAGGGAAATGGCAGGGTCATTTTCTGAGGAAGTCTGAAATTGTTTTCAGCCCGACGAAGGAGCAAAATACAGCCTGGTGGGAAAGCGGGAGGGGAGACAAAATCTCTCCTGACCACGAGCCATGGCAGGTTAACCCCTGCTTACCTGAAGGCAGCACCGTGAGCACCATGTGCTGTGACTCATCTGATGCTTGGTTGACCCAGTTGCTTGGAGGGCCATGGAGCTGCCACTCTGTCACCCTGCACCAGTACATTCCAGCATCCCCCATCTCCACCCGGTGAAGCTTCAGGACAAAGTCTGTCGGGGACGAACGGTAACAGTGCAGGTGACGCTGGAGTCCCTCTTTACCATACGCCAGCAAGCCATCATGCTGCAGGTGCACCAGCATTTCACTTCCAGAATTTTCTCTGTGTCGGTACCACATCACAGAGAACAGGGAGGCCGAGCTGCCGGAGCTCTCCAGGCTGCAGTGGATGGCCATCTCTCTGTGCTCGGTAGCATTTTCTGTCCAGTACACTCGGGAGACGCGTACTTTACTTCCTAGGAAATAAAATGGCAGCAAGTGAGGGAAGAACTCAGATTTTTAGATTGGACACCTCCTCTGAAAAATCTAGTTCTTGGTGGTGACCGGTTAGCTCAGTTGGCTAGACCATGGTGCTGATAACACCAAGGTTGCCGGTTCGATCCCCACATGGGCCACTGTGAGCTATGCCTTCCTTAAAAAAGTCAACTATGCCGTTGTAGCATGAAAGCAATGTGTAACCAATGACCATGGCTGTTCCCCAATAAAATTAAAGAACAAAAAACAATATTTAGGAAAATCTAGTTCTCGTTGCGGAGATGCCATCTTGTAATCTTCAGATATCAGGAACTTCATGTTTAACATGTTTCTTTGGCCCCTGTCCTCTGCCATATTTGATAGAAAATTCTCTGCTATGAATCAAGCAAGCCATGTCCTTCCTTTAGCCCTACTTCTTGTCTGCTGGACCTGCCACTGAAAACCACCCAGCTTCGGTGGGTGCTCTCCCCTGCTGTTTTTACTTCTCCCTGGTCATCTCTCACTTCTACTTCCCAGAGGGACCATTCAAAATTTCCAGTCCTTGGGTGGTCAATTAGCTCAGTTGGTTAGAGCGCAGTGTTCATAACACCAAGGTTGCTGATCTGACTCGATCCCCACATGGGCCACTGAGCTGCGCCCTCCACAACTAGATTGAAGACAATGACTTGACTTGGAGCTGATGGGTCTGGGAAAAACACACTGTTCCCTGATAAAATTTATTTAAAAAAAAAATTTCCAGCCTTCCTCTTAAGTCGTGTATTCCATCGCTACCCCTCATTTTTAGCAAATTATCCTCCTCCCATGCACTGAAGGAGAAGGCTATCCAAGAAACTGAATATTTTTATACAAGTGTTAGAACACCACTCAAGGAGAATAAATTATTGGATTAGAATAAGTTTTAAACAGATTTTGACATTTACTTTCGAAAAAAATTTTCCTGCTAACCAGCAGGTGAAGACTTAGAATGAAAGCCAGAGTAGTTACAAACAAAATGAAGAAATTATAGCACACACTAAATTTCAACTCTACTACAAACACATTTGTCAGGCTCTCTTTACAAGGACAACTTTGTCTGATCCTGGATTCTCTTTAGTTACCATCTTTACTCTCTCCTTCTCTTCATGGCAAAGCATGTGAAATATTAGTTTATGTGATAAGCTAATTTTTATCTGCTTCCTCCCCTCAAATTCCCCCCTACTTTACTGCAATCAGCCTTCTAATCCCATCTCTCTACTCTGCCCAGTGCTTGCAATAACGGCCCAATTTCCCTGCTCAAAAACCCCTCTAGTCTTTCTTTGTCTTCTCTGTGGTTTTTGTCACGGAAGTTCATTTTCTTCATGAAATCCTCTCCTCTTTTGATTTAATTGTCCCTCCTACAATTCTGACCAGCCCTTCTCAGTATCTTTCCCTGGGGGCTCTTCCTTAACTCTGTACCATGCCCAGCCAGCCACACTCAGATATGTGTTATTTGACACCCTCAAGATTTTAAGAGCATTTGAATTAGTTGTGAACATTCTTAAATTGAGTGATGTCACCAGAAAAAAATGTAGGCATTTTTTGATATATGAAAAGACCAGGCAATGCTGGGCCCACATTTCTGACTAGGAAGCACTGACAAGATCGGAAGTGGCTGCCTCCTTAAAGGAGCACGCACACACTGGCAATATTGGGCTTGCACAACTGGGAGGAAGGGATGCCAGCCACACAGATGGACAATACGAATGTGTGCATGAGACGTGTGGGATGGCAGAGAGGATAAATTCGATTTGGAACATGCTGGGTGTGAGAGACTCTGAGGCATCCACGTAGGAACGTCCAACAGGCAGGTGGGTAGAAAGAGCTGGAGCTCAGGGGGCAGCCGGGAGCCTCAGTTGGTTAGAGTGCATGCTCTGAGCAACAGCGTTGCCAGTTCTATTCGTGCATGGGATGGTGTGCTGCGCCCCCGCCCTCCACTCCCCTACAACTAGATTGAAGAGAACAACTTCAGCTGAGCTGCCGCTGAGCCAATGGATGGTTCAGTTGGTTAGAGCACGTGTGCTCTCTTTTTTAAAAAGATTTTTATTGGGGAATTGGGGAAGGGGAACACTGTTGGGGAATTGGGGAATGGGAACAGCCAAGCTGTTGTCCTTCAATCTTAGTTGCAGAGGGCACAGCTAGCTCCGCTCCAAGTCCAGTCGCCATCCGGCCACCCATCGGCAGCTCACGGCAGCTCAGCTCAAGTGCCATGTTCAATCTTAGCTGTGGGTGGGCATAGCCCACCATCCCATGTGGGAGTCGAACCGGCATCCTGCCACCTGTTGGCAGCTCAGCTTGGGTGCAGCTCACTTGCCCACGTGGGAATCGAACCGGCAACCCTGTTGCTCAGAGCTCACGCTCTTAACCAACTGAGCCACTCAGCTGGCCCATAGAGCACATGCTCTTAATAACAAGGTTGCCGGTTCGACTCCTGCATGGGGTGGTGAGCTGCATGCCCCGTAACTAGATTGAAAACAGCCACTGGACTTGGAGCTGAGCTGCGCCCTCCACAACTAAGACTGAAAGACAACTTGACTTGGGGCTGATGGGTCCTGGAAAAAACACACTGTTCCCCAATAAAGTTTGAAAAAGGAAAAACAAAAACCTAGAGCTCAGGAGATCAGGGCTACGAGTAAAGACCTAGAGCTATTTCACTGAAGGTGACTGTGTAGAAACCAAAGGTAGTGGTTAAGAAAAAAAATCAAATGCAGAGAATACGAAGAAAAATGGACCCAGGGTCTATCCCTGAGGAATACCCATATTCAGCAGAGAGAGGAAGGAAGGCCTGAAGAACACGGAGAAGGGGAGCCAGAGGGGATCCCTGCTCCCCCAGCAGACTGAGAGCTTCTTCAGGCAAGAGCTGTGCCTTACATCTTTGTATCCCTAAGTGCCCAACACACAATCGTGCTTATTATAATCTTATTTTTGATGCTACATTGAAAATAGAATTTTAAGTGCCAAACTAGATTAACTTATTTGCATTATGCTGTTGGATCTTCTCCAGTTCCCAAACCTTAGCCTGACATTCATTTAATTTTAATCAACATTAGAGGTGACATCACCAAGACTGAGAGAGCTATGCAACGCTGCCCACATTTAGACCGCAGCACTCTTAGACCAATGCAAGTGGATGGCACTTCCGTTACATTTTTAGAGATCTCCTGAGGAAGAGGAGATTCCTTAGTAAGCCATTCCAATGGTTAACTACTCTTCTTCGCCTTCTGTTTAGGCAGCCCAATGTTGAAAAGCAATTTCTCCACACATCCCTGTAGAGTTGTACAGTTTCTGTTCACAGTGGGAGAAATACGCTTCGTATGACTCTTTCTCTGCCAAATTACAATAAAGCCCCAGTGGAGTGACACAGCTTGTTATTACAGAGATCTGGAGATACGATACCCTGGGTAGAGCTGCAGAGACCAGGCTGCCAGGCTGATCAGCCAACCAATCAAAGGGATCTTGTTCCCATCCAGTCTCCTTGACACCTCAGACTGACTCACCTTAAGTGACCCTCGCCTACACTGTGGGCTACAAGGTCCTAAGGTCATTGTGTAGGTGGACACTATTCCTGCAACGGGAGGTCATATTTTTACCTTCACATGATCACCCCACAGAACAGCTGCCCAAGAGAAGATGGCAATCCTACACAAGGAAGTGTGAGAATATCCTCACGAGATTTACCTGTGGGCCTGAGTTTCAGTTCCATCAGACCTGATGTCTCTTCTCCAAGCTTGTGCCAAGCGCCGTCTGCAGACAAGAGCCATTCTTGCACAGAGCAGCGATATTGGCCCTGATCACTGTCTCCCACATTCAGAATATGCAGCTGAAACAAGTCTTGGGAAACTTTCTTGGCGTGGAATTTTTGTTTTTCCCGTGGGGTGTGAAATTCGTCCCCATATTTTACAACATTGGTTTGGTTCGTTTCCAGGATCCTCAACCAAGATGTATTATTAGTGGAAACAGAAGAGAAATACCAAATAACGGCCAACTGAAGGTTTCCAGTGGACTGGGACAAGATGCTACATTCCACAGCAGTGTTGGAGTTGATGGAGATCTCTTGGACATGACTGCTTGAATTCACTTTCAGCTTGCTCTCTAAATTAAAAGAATGGAAACAGTTACTTTTGTTACACTGTTATAAAACAGAATTTCAAGGTAGAAGGGACATTAGAAGTCAACTAGAGCAATTCCTCCTACATCCATCAGATGTGTGAATTTCATCTCCAGCAGCCCCACTAACTGCCTGTTTGGCCTCTGAACAACTCACTGACACAGAAGCCCATTCCATCTTTGGACAGCTCGGCTACTAGAAAGTTCTCTCTGATATCAAGCTGAGTTTTACCTCTTCATAACTTCCATCCTCTGGTCCTAATTCTACCCTTGCCCAGGAGAGTAGGAAGGGAGCACAGAGTGGGGAGAAAGGGTCACATAAAAAAGTCCAGTCTCTCACACATGACAGTGCTTCAGTATTCAAGCACAGACATCTTTGCTTCTGTAGCATTTTATAAATCAAATGGAGAGGAAGTAGTCCTATTAATGCTTTGTCTGTGTGTTCACTAACCAGAGGATTCCTAGATTCATAGTTTGCCAGTCTGCTTGTGTATGTCTTCAAACATGAGCAAACAAAAGGAAGTTGTATGTCGGCTATTAAAACTGTAGGTTTCCTTGCAGCCACTCAACTGTGGAATACCGTATACATATGGAGTCAACTATCCTTTAACCCCAACAGCGTTTCTGCTTTGTCAGAAAGATAAATGATAAAACCTGGCTTCCAAACCTTATTCTAACTTCTTGCTGACATCACTGGTTCTACTTTTGTAACTGCTTATTGATGTCGTTATTCCTTCAATAAGCATTTATTAAGTACATACTATGCATATGCCAGACTAGTTCAGGCTCTGTGGACACCTGCCCTCAGTGGGTTCACAGTCTGGAGGGAGAGACTAGTACAGGGACAGAGGCTTAGAGATGACAGGATTGTGTCACCCAAGCAGGACAGAGATATGCAGAAATGGCTATCAAAGCACATACCAGGACCACCTAACCCAACCATGGGAGTGTTGGGAGGCTTCCTGGAGGAGGCATCTCTAAGCTAAGCCTTAATGGTGAATAGGAATTAGTCTGATGGAGGAGGGGTGAAGGAATTCCACACAGAAGAAGCAACCTGAACAAAGACTTTGAAAGTGAGAGTGAACACAGAGTATCTGAGGAACTCCCAAGTAGTTCAGAGTGCCTGGAGTTCAACATGGAAAGTAGAAGGAGATAATGCTGGAAAGACATAAATGTACCGAATTATAAAGGACCTTGCATACCACGCCATGTGAGTCTGGACACGAGGTGGACATGTGGAAGCTGTGGATGACTCAGGTTTCCCACTTAAGTCACAGGTGGATGGTGGGGACATAGAGAACAATGTAGAAGGAGTAGCTTTGGAGGGATAATAGTGGTGGGTTTATGTTTTGACATATTGAGTGCAGACATGTCTGGGAGGCAGTTGCATAGGTGAGTCTGGTGATCAGAAGAGAAGCCTTTCAGGATAACGGATTTGGGAGTTGTCAGCACATAAGTTGAATCCATGGGTAGGAATAAGCCCACTTCAGGAAGCTGTATAGAAAGAGAAGGCAGCAAGCTGAGGGTGAAACCCAAAGGAATGGATCAGTGGAGGAGAATTCTGCAAAAGAGAATGAGAAGGAGCAGTCAGAGTGTTAGGAAGGAAACCACGAAACTCTTGTATCATGAGGCCAAGGAAAAAAGAAGTTTCAAGAAGAAAGGTTTGGGCTGACAATTTCAAAATCCACAGAAAGGACAAGTAAATGAAGTCATGAGTTAATCAACAAAGATCATTACAATTACCCAAAATACTGCTCAGCAGCAGAGAGCATGATGATAGCTACCATATCAGAACATCTGCTTGGTGTGTCAAGTACTGTACCATAGTATAGTATAGTATAGCGCAGTATAGACGAAGCTGGACAATTAAGCTCGCATAAGTGCACGGTGAAAAGTGCATGTAAGTCACCACCTTTAAACTGCACATCAGCAATTTACAGATGAGGTAAGAAGGCTTGAACAGATTAAGTGATGCATCCAAAGCTAGGCTGCTATCCAGTGTTTGTCAGATCTAAATGACTTCAAAGGCTCTTAAACACTGTGCCCTAAGAGAATAAAAGTCACAAAAGAAGATACTTGACCCAGTAGAACTTTGCCTAGGTTGTGTCTTACTTTTAACCTCTATGCTCTATTACCAACTGAACAAGGTCAATTACATTTGACTATAATCATAAATTTTCTAACTCTTAAACATTAACACATTAAAATAAGTAGATAAATGTATTCTAATGGAACTCCTATTACCCATTCCACTAGGGGAGACATCCCAAACATTTCATGACTGGTAAGGCATGAGCTGTGACGGACTAGTCCGAAAGAGCATGTCTCCACTGGAGCTGGTCCTGGAGGCCCCCTGCTGTGCCATGTGGAACCGTTGGGTTGCTGGCTGGTGAGGACTTATGGGGAGATGGGGAAGGGGCATGGAGTAACAGTCATGATTAGCCAGTATGAAAGTATTTCGACGTTTTAACAACCAGTATGGCCATCCACACATACTAACAATGTTAGCCTGGACATCACTTATACGTGGCACTTACTTATACAGTACAAACACAGGGAGAAGGTATTTTATGCTTTAAATCTATCACTTACCCAAAATGGGAGGATTTTTTTTTTTTTAAAGCAGAGATGGGGCCGTGGGTTAGCTCAGTTGGTTAAGAGCACAGTGCTCATAACACCAAGGTTGCCCGTTCAGTTACCCCATGGGCCACTGAGATGTGCCCTCCACAACTAGAATGAAATAACTACTCGACTTGGAGTCGGGGGGGCCAGTTAGCTCAGTTGGTTAGAGCACATTGCTCATAACACCAGACACTATTCCTGCAACGGGAGGTCATATTTTTACCTTCACATGATCACCCCACAGAACAGCTGCCCAAGAGAAGATGGCAATCCTACACAAGGAAGTGTGAGAATATCCTCACGAGATTTACCTGTGGGCCTGAGTTTCAGTTCCATCAGACCTGATGTCTCTTCTCCAAGCTTGTGCCAAGCGCCGTCTGCAGACAAGAGCCATTCTTGCACAGAGCAGCGATATTGGCCCTGATCACTGTCTCCCACATTCAGAATATGCAGCTGAAACAAGTCTTGGGAAACTTTCTTGGCGTGGAATTTTTGTTTTTCCCGTGGGGTGTGAAATTCGTCCCCATATTTTACAACATTGGTTTGGTTCGTTTCCAGGATCCTCAACCAAGATGTATTATTAGTGGAAACAGAAGAGAAATACCAAATAACGGCCAACTGAAGGTTTCCAGTGGACTGGGACAAGATGCTACATTCCACAGCAGTGTTGGAGTTGATGGAGATCTCTTGGACATGACTGCTTGAATTCACTTTCAGCTTGCTCTCTAAATTAAAAGAATGGAAACAGTTACTTTTGTTACACTGTTATAAAACAGAATTTCAAGGTAGAAGGGACATTAGAGGTCAACTAGAGCAATTCCTCCTACATCCATCAGATGTGTGAATTTCATCTCCAGCAGCCCCACTAACTGCCTGTTTGGCCTCTGAACAACTCACTGACACAGAAGCCCATTCCATCTTTGGACAGCTCGGCTACTAGAAAGTTCTCTCTGATATCAAGCTGAGTTTTACCTCTTCGTAACTTCCATCCTCTGGTCCTAATTCTACCCTTGCCCAGGAGAGTAGGAAGGGAGCACAGAGTGGGGAGAAAGGGTCACATAAAAAAGTCCAGTCTCTCACACATGACAGTGCTTCAGTATTCAAGCACAGACATCTTTGCTTCTGTAGCATTTTATAAATCAAATGGAGAGGAAGTAGTCCTATTAATGCTTTGTCTGTGTGTTCACTAACCAGAGGATTCCTAGATTCATAGTTTGCCAGTCTGCTTGTGTATGTCTTCAAACATGAGCAAACAAAAGGAAGTTGTATGTCGGCTATTAAAACTGTAGGTTTCCTTGCAGCCACTCAACTGCGGAATACCGTATACATATGGAGTCAACTATCCTTTAACCCCAACAGCGTTTCTGCTTTGTCAGAAAGATAAATGATAAAACCTGGCTTCCAAACCTTATTCTAACTTCTTGCTGACATCACTGGTTCTACTTTTGTAACTGCTTATTGATGTCGTTATTCCTTCAATAAGCATTTATTAAGTACATACTATGCATATGCCAGACTAGTTCAGGCTCTGTGGACACCTGCCCTCAGTGGGTTCACAGTCTGGAGGGAGAGACTAGTACAGGGACAGAGGCTTAGAGATGACAGGATTGTGTCACCCAAGCAGGACAGAGATATGCAGAAATGGCTATCAAAGCACATACCAGGACCACCTAACCCAACCATGGGAGTGTCGGGAGGCTTCCTGGAGGAGGCATCTCTAAGCTAAGCCTTAATGGTGAATAGGAATTAGTCTGATGGAGGAGGGGTGAAGGAATTCCACACAGAAGAAGCAACCTGAACAAAGACTTTGAAAGTGAGAGTGAACACAGAGTATCTGAGGAACTCCCAAGTAGTTCAGAGTGCCTGGAGTTCAACATGGAAAGTAGAAGGAGATAATGCTGGAAAGACATAAATGTACCGAATTATAAAGGACCTTGCATACCACGCCATGTGAGTCTGGACACGAGGTGGACATGTGGAAGCTGTGGATGACTCAGGTTTCCCACTTAAGTCACAGGTGGATGGTGGGGACATAGAGAACAATGTAGAAGGAGTAGCTTTGGAGGGATAATAGTGGTGGGTTTATGTTTTGACATATTGAGTGCAGACATGTCTGGGAGGCAGTTGCATAGGTGAGTCTGGTGATCAGAAGAGAAGCCTTTCAGGATAATGGATTTGGGAGTTGTCAGCACATAAGTTGAATCCATGGGTAGGAATAAGCCCACTTCAGGAAGCTGTATAGAAAGAGAAGGCAGCAAGCTGAGGGTGAAACCCAAAGGAATGGATCAGTGGAGGAGAATTCTGCAAAAGAGAATGAGAAGGAGCAGTCAGAGTGTTAGGAAGGAAACCACGAAACTCTTGTATCATGAGGCCAAGGAAAAAAGAAGTTTCAAGAAGAAAGGTTTGGGCTGACAATTTCAAAATCCACAGAAAGGACAAGTAAATGAAGTCATGAGTTAATCAACAAAGATCATTACAATTACCCAAAATACTGCTCAGCAGCAGAGAGCATGATGATAGCTACCATATCAGAACATCTGCTTGGTGTGTCAAGTACTGTACCATAGTATAGTATAGTATAGCGCAGTATAGACGAAGCTGGACAATTAAGCTCGCATAAGTGCACGGTGAAAAGTGCATGTAAGTCACCACCTTTAAACTGCACATCAGCAATTTACAGATGAGGTAAGAAGGCTTGAACAGATTAAGTGATGCATCCAAAGCTAGGCTGCTATCCAGTGTTTGTCAGATCTAAATGACTTCAAAGGCTCTTAAACACTGTGCCCTAAGAGAATAAAAGTCACAAAAGAAGATACTTGACCCAGTAGAACTTTGCCTAGGTTGTGTCTTACTTTTAACCTCTATGCTCTATTACCAACTGAACAAGGTCAATTACATTTGACTATAATCATAAATTTTCTAACTCTTAAACATTAACACATTAAAATAAGTAGATAAATGTATTCTAATGGAACTCCTATTACCCATTCCACTAGGGGAGACATCCCAAACATTTCATGACTGGTAAGGCATGAGCTGTGACGGACTAGTCCGAAAGAGCACGTCTCCACTGGAGCTGGTCCTGGAGGCCCCCTGCTGTGCCATGTGGAACCGTTGGGTTGCTGGCTGGTGAGGACTTATGGGGAGATGGGGAAGGGGCATGGAGTAACAGTCATGATTAGCCAGTATGAAAGTATTTCGACGTTTTAACAACCAGTATGGCCATCCACACATACTAACAATGTTAGCCTGGACATCACTTATACGTGGCACTTACTTATACAGTACAAACACAGGGAGAAGGTATTTTATGCTTTAAATCTATCACTTACCCAAAATGGGAGGATTTTTTTTTTTTTAAAGCAGAGATGGGGCCGTGGGTTAGCTCAGTTGGTTAAGAGCACAGTGCTCATAACACCAAGGTTGCCCGTTCAGTTACCCCATGGGCCACTGAGATGTGCCCTCCACAACTAGAATGAAATAACTACTCGACTTGGAGTCGGGGGGGCCAGTTAGCTCAGTTGGTTAGAGCACATTGCTCATAACACCAAGGTTGCTGGTTCGATCCCCACGCCCTCCATTAAAAAAACAAAAGCACGGATTAATTTCAAGTGGTGATTACCTGGTAAAGTGACGGCGATCCTCAGTGGGTGAGAGATGGCAGAAGCCCTCGCGGGCCCATTTGTGCGTAAGGAATTTCTGTCATAAACTTCCACTTGACACAGATACACCCCCGCCTCCTCCTCAGTGGCATCATGGATTAGGAGTTGAGAACGAAGTGGAGACTGTGAAACCTTTGTCTTCTTTTGGAACTGGGATGGAACATTCCCCCATTCAATAGTGCCATTATGGGTGATGCGAATAAGCTGGTGAATGACTTGAGACCCAGCTTGCTGGAACTGCCACGTCACGGTGAGTGGCATCCTAAGGTCGGAGTAGCCAGCCACCACTACGCAGGACAGGTCAAAGGGGTGGGTTACTTTCACTTGTGGGTGACGGCTCATCAGGTTAACTTGTAAACTTGACTCTGTGGGTGGGAATGCGAAACACAATTTCCAATGTTTATCAAATCAAAGTATGGTACTGCCAACTTTTCCTAGTTACCACCTCTTCACATTGACCCGTGCATTCAAATACTATTGGGAGTAGCAAGTGTTTTGGGCGGGGGCTAGCAGTTGATTCACAGGACAGTCTGTCCTGAATTCTGACCTCTGTTTTCCAAAGCTGACCTGCGTCTCCGAGTGCTCTCAACAGCGACAACAAACAGGCAGTGTGTCTCCAGTCTGCTGCTTAGACAGCTGCTACTGAGTGGGTGGAGCGCTCCTCAGCCCCGGTGGATGGCCTCTGTCCCTTACCCCCACTCATGGGTTCAGCACACTCTTTTGCACATGCTAGAGAGACTCTGTAATCCCAGGCTGCAGCTGTCAAAAGCCTGAGTATATGAGGCTCAGCTCCACTCGGCATATCTCTTCTATAAGTCTACTCGATTTTGAACGGCACCTTACAGGTTGCACCCTACATCAGACGATCTTTATAAAGATGAGTAAACTTTAGAGATCCATTGACAGACATGGTAGCCAGAGATTATGCTCTGTGTCCTGGGGCACATGTACCATAAGGAGGGGATTCAGGGTGACACACAAATTCCACTGCAAATGGAAGGTGCTGATGATATGTAAGTTAAGAAAAGGATTCCTTTGACACTTACGCAGAGATTTCACAGAGACCGGTATCTTCTGGGTCCAGCTTAGCTCTCTGGCCTGGTTCTGGGTCTTCTCAGACACTCTGCACTCATAGGTGCCACTGTCTGTGACGGTAGTGGACGTGATCTCCAGCTGGAAGGCGTCCCAGGCCCTTTTCTCCAGCCTTATGCTGCCGTGGTTATCGGGTTTCCCGTAGGAGGCAGCCAGCTGCATGGTACCGTCCTGCTCCATGGCAGCCACAAACTCTGGCTGTGTCTGGCCCTGGGGGATGTGCCACCAGCTCACAGACAGCAGACCTTCTGCTCCATCTGCCTTGCAGAGAAGGGTTAGTCCCTCTCCTTCCCATACTGCTTGCTGCTTGTCCTTGGTAGACACAGCCACACTTCTCGCTGTGGATTACAGGTTTTTAGAAGAAAAAAGGATTTCAAGTAAACGAAAAATTTTCTAAAACACCGTGAGAGCTCATTAATTAGAAATTGACCAAGTTATGACCATTCAAATTGTGGACTCCTGAACCACTCCCAGAAAAAAAAAGAAAAAGACTTGCTCAACACTTAAATCATGGCAACAAGACAGCAGAAAGAATATCAGGAGAGCCCACTGACACATAAACAATTTATAATTTGCCCTTATTTTTAGGGACTTGTAAGCCAGCCATTCCTTAAGCACATCCAGTTGGGAAAACATCTGGCAAGATTTTGTTAGAGTAACTAGGGTGCGTGCAATGAAACTGTGTTTACTAAGTTTTAGTTTTTTTGGCATTCTGACTTTCGCAGTTCAAAATGACCTTCCTCTCCTTCCTTATCTTTCCCTAATTACTATGTGTTTTGAGCAGGGAAATTGTTAACCTTAATATTGTTAAACTAGATTTTTGTTCACAATACTACCATCAAAACCATAAAAAACTATTATATATATATATATATATATATATATATATATATATATGTTGTTGTTGAAGGAAGATCCTTCTTTTATCTGAACTACAATGTAAAATTATCAGTGCAAACCTGGCTCCCAGACGGGAAATTCAAGATGTGTAGAAATGCAGGCATTCATTCATCAAATGCTTCCCAGGCAATGCCTTGTGCTGGGTGCATTGTGGACAATGCAAAGATACCTCAGGAGTTCATGTATTTGAGGCAGCCCAGTCTCATGTGTAAGGCCAAGATCCCTGGAGTCAGAATTATCTTTGGCAACACACTGGACCTCTATGAGCCTCAATTTTCTTTCCTGTAAATACAGGGGTGATCATAGCACCTGCCTTATCGCATTGTCGAGAGGACTAAGCGAATGGCATAGGCAACGGGCTTAGCATGGCTGGCAAGGGAAAGTACCCAGGAAAGGTTAGCTATTAGCATTAGTAGGTAATAATAGGCACTTTATGAAGGCAGAAGTAGTTCAAAGCCAAAAGAGAAAAACAAAATAAAATTGGCATTAGAAATCTAAATAGGGGGCCGGCCGAGTGGCTCAGTTGGTTAACAGTTGGCTTGGGAGCGTGAGCTCTGAGAAGCAGGGCCGCGGGTTTGGATCCCACATGGGCCAGTGATGCTGTGCCCTCTGCAGCAAAGATGGTGAACAACAGCTCGACCTGGAGTGGGGCTGCCATGAGTGGCCAGCAGCCAGAGTGAGCGGCCAGCAAGAGCTGCCGTGAGCGGCCGTCCAATGGCAGGCGACCAACTGCCTCACCCGGGAAGAGCGCAATGATCATAATACCAACATGGGCCAGTGAAGCAACATCCTCCACAACTAGACTGAAGAACAAAAGGACAGCAACTTGTTTGTTCCCCTTCCCCGGTTCCCCAACGCTGTTACCCTCCTCCAATTCCCCAAAAAAATCTTTAAAAAAAGAAAAGAAATCTAAATAGGATCTACATGAATTTGCAAATTGTTCTTTCCTGCTGAGGAAGGAGTTTCTTCTTCTACTACTTCACGTATGCATATAGATGTATATGAGTGACAATGGCAGAATGAAGGTCAATGTCCACTAATAATTTATATGCAAACCTGCTTCCAAATTTGGGGTAGTACAGGCATGATTATACTTACATTTTTTTTCAAATTAAAAATACATTCGTAACTGAAGTTTGGAAATTAGAAAAATATTTCTGATAGTCTCAGTACTCTAATATAACCTTTATGATTAATTTAAACCAACATCAATTTTTTTCTCCAAAAAAAATGAGGTTTCCGTAGTTCGTTGTGGTCATTCATCCCTGCCTCTTGGTAAGAAGTAATAAACTTACTAAGTGTGGGTAGTCACACATTCACAGTATTTTGTTTAAAATATTCATAGAATGATAACTCAGCTCGGATTTCAAGTAACGGTTTGACTTTCAAAACTGAATGCTCCACAGGAGCCTTAATACATTTGCGAATAACTTTCCCTGTTTCTACATATGAGGCCCAGTTTGGTCTCCAGCCTACACAAAGAACTATTTTCAGCTTTGGAAGACCTCCCCGCACTGAAAGGTCTGTGCGCCACGAAGCACACCTATCGGTCCCTTTGGCACAGACTCCCATGCACCGAGTTCAAGAAAGGTCACAGGCATGTTCCAGGGGAGACTGCAGTGCACAGAGCAGAGACTTCGCTCTGTGTAAATATGAAAACTGCCTACATAGCTTTTCTTGATTCCTAGAAAGTAAGGCCAAATGTTTACTGTGAAAACTAACACCAATGTGCTTCCTGCCTTGCTGCACTAGGCCGAATCGTCTGCGTCTTGGCTCCTTCCTAGCCAATGGGGTAATGCAGGCGAGCATGAAAGGGAAGTTTATCTGTCTTTGGATATGCCTCCAAGAAGAAAGCACAAGGATATCTTTATTTTTAGCTTGTTTTTGTTTTGGGGCAAGTTAATCTTTCTAGACTTTGAATTTAATACTCAGCCCAGAAAATCCCAATACGGTTGGTTAGCCCTCCACATCCAGTTTCATATCTGCAGATTCAACCAACCGATTGAAAATATACCGAAAGAAAGTTACAGTGTTGCTGATGGGTGCTGTAGAGTTAGGCTTATGATGGCTGCATCTGTATTGAGCATGTGCAGACCTTTGTTCTTGTCCTTAGTCCCCAAACAATACAGTACAACAACAGCAAAACAATAGAAATAGCAACTATTTACATAGCATTTACATTGTATTAGGTATTATAAGTTATCTAGAGATGATTTAAAGTATATAGGAGGAAATGTGTAGGTTATATGCAAACACTATGCCTTTTTATATAAGGACTTGAGGGTCAGCAGATTTGGGTATTCATAGGGGGCCCTGGAACCAATACCCCCCAGATACCTAGAGATGACCGTATTAGCTGTGGATTTGTCTGTTTTCTCTCCACACAAAAAGCATTAATTATTCAAACATGTTTAAGATCACCTAACCTTCATTAACTAAATGAGAGCTGAGTGGCTTTTCCAGTCTCATGCCTACAGATATTCAGACCTATGAGAACAGGTGTCTTGCCACATCACAGCAAAATATAGGACACAGTTTGCCCACTATTGCTTCCCTCTTCATTCCTTACTCTGAGTCATGTTTTGATGCAGAATTAAGACTTAGTATCATACCCTCTATCAAGTTAAGATAACAGAGGATAGACAAAAGCCTGAAAGATGCCAGAGGCATGCAGGCGTGTCATGTGGGTGTTTATTCCCCAGGAAGGAGGCAAAGTGGAGCGTTTTCTACTCACATCACTTAAACAACAACAAGAACAACAAAAAGACAGAGGGCTTCATTATTAAAGGTGTTCTCTGCTTGAAGAAAAACCCAATGTATAAAAATTAGGACTAATGGCAACTAAAATCAAAGGCGCTAAGACAGCAAGAAGGGATTTAAGGATAAGCTAATTGTATATCATTATTTTACATCCAAGGAAGCTAAGATGTAGAGAAGTAAAGTGGTTATGTCCCTGGTCATGACCCATTTAAAGGCTTAAGTTCCTCAGCAAGTTTGGGTGCTTTCCTTTACTTTCTCTCAAAGTGATGTGATCGACACCTGACTCTTTAGGAGACCCCCACTGGGTCCATGATGGCATCCTGCACTAATAAAGGAGAGGATCTGAAAGCAGCCTGATCGTGTCTGGCCCCGACTTCACATACCTGCTGGCTTCCTCAGGTGCACATGGCTTTCTGGTGACTCCTTTCTCTGAAGCACTTGCCAGGAGCCCATCTGAGCTCTAGCCACCTCTGCCACTGCACATCTGTAGGCGCCTTCATCCTCTGGGCCTGCAGTGAAGATCTTGAGAGAAAAAGCCTTGGGGCTTGACTTTGAAACCTGGAGTTGTCCTTGACTTGCTCTCTCTTCGTAGTCTTTCTTCAGGACCAGAACTCCACCAGCATCCATAACAGCCATTTCAGTGCCATTGAAGAACCAAAAACCCTGAAGCTGTGGGTCCCGGCCACTGCCCACTACCAAGCAAACCAGTTCTAGGGGTTTTCCCGCGATAAATGTGCTCTTAGTTGTAATGTTGACTTGAAAATCTCTCACTAGAAAACAAAAGCAACACAGGTATTTAGGGAGGCCACTGCATCTGTCCTTTCAATACCAGAGAGAGATGATACCCTCTGTAAGGATATTATAGGGATTGAATTTCATGTGGTTCAGTTCTCAGGAGTAGGTAAGCCAAAGAAATGTCTAGAGCCAAAAATGCCCTTGACTACTTCTTAAATCACACAGAGAGAACAGCATACATGTTTTCTGGGTGCAATCCTATTAAGCAGGATGTATGCATAGATGTATAAAATATACAGTAATGTATCTTTTTAAATAAAAAATATACAATATATTATGTTGAATTACTATAAATTGTGATTTCTTACTTTATTTTTTGGCTAAAAATATCCACTAGAATTTTTCTAAATTAAAAGCACATGTGATGTATGACAAGTCTATAGCTAGCATCATTCTTAACAGTGCAAAGCTGAAAGCTTTTCCTCTCAGGCCAGGAACAAGACAAGGCTGCCCACTCTCACCGCCTCTATTCAACATAGTACTGGAAGTCCTAGCCAGAGCAATTTGTCAGAAAAAGAAATAAAAGACATCCAAATCAGAAAAAACAAAACAAAAAATAAAAGTAAAATCATCTCTGTTTGCAGATGACATGATCTTATATGTAGACACCCCAACAGACTCTACCAAAGGAAAAAAAGAACTGTTAAAACTAATAAACAATTTCAGTAAAATTGAAGGACACAAAATCAACATATAAAAAATTAGTTGCATTTCTATACACTAACAATGAACTATCAGAAAAAAATTAAGAAAAATCATATTTATAGCCTCAAAAAGAAGACAATATTTAGGGATAAATTTAACCAAGGAGGTGAACAATCTGTATACTGAAAACTATAAAACATTGATGAAAGAAATTGAAAAAGACAGAAATAAATGGAAAGGTATCCTTTGTTCATGTGTTGGAAGAATTAATATTGTTAAAATGTCCATATCCCCCAAAGCAATCTGCAGATTCAGTGCAATACCTATCAAAATTCTAATGGCATTTTTTTTTACAGAAATAGAAATACAACCCTAAAATTCATATGGAACCACAAAAGACCCTGAATAGGCAAAGCAATTTTGAGTAAGGACAAAGCTGGAGGTATCACACTTACTGATTGCAAAATATATTACAAAACTACAATAATAAAAACAGTGTGGTACTGACATAAAAATAGACATAGAGACCAATGGGACAGAACACAGGACTCAGAAATAAATCCATACATCTATGTCAATGGATCTTTGATAACTGCCGAAAACACACAGTGGAAAAAAGATGGTCTCTTCAACAAATGGTGTCGAGAAAACTGTTCAACCACATGCAAAAGAATGAAGTTGAATCATTACCTCACACCATCTTTCAAAAATCAACTCAAAATGTAGTCAAAATTTAAATGCAAGACCTGAAACTGTAAAACTACTAGAAGAAAATAGAGGAAGAAGCCTCTTGATACTAGTTTAGGCAATGATTTTTTTTGACCCCTTACAACAACAAAAGCAAAAATAGACAAGTGAGATTGCATCAAACTAAAAAGTTTCTGCACAGCAAAAGAAATAAGCAACAGAGTGAAGAGACAATCTATGAAATGGGATAAAGTATTTGCAAACCATATATCTGACAAGGGGTTACTATACAAAATATATAAGGAACTCATACAACTCAATAGCAAAAAAACAAATTACTTGATTAAAAAAATGGACAAAGGACCTGAATTGACGTTCCCTAAAAGAAGACATACGAATGGCCAACAAGTATAAGATGCTCAACATCACCAATCATCAGGGAAATGCAAATTAAAACCACGAGATATTACCTTACATTTCTAGAAATGCTATTAGTAAAAAGACAAATATAACACGTGATGGTGAGAATGTGGAGAAAAGGGAACCCTTGTGGACTGTTAATGGGAATGTAAATTGGTATGGCCATTATAGAAAACAGTATGGAGGTTCCTCTAAAATTAAAAATAGAACTACCATATAATCCAGCAATTCCACTTCTAGCTACATATCCAAAGGACATGACATCAGTATCTTGAAGAGATATCTGCACACTACCATATTCATTATTCATAATAGCCAAGATATGGAAACAACCTAAGTGTCTGTAGATGGATGAACGGATACAGAAAATGTGGTATATATGTTCACAATAGAATATTACTCAGCCATGAGAAAAAAGGAAATCCTGCCATTTTCAAAAAAAAAAAATGGATCAACATGGAGGACATTATGCTAAGTGAGACAAGCCAGACACAGAAAGGCAAATACTGCAGGATTTTACTGCTATGTGGAATCGAAAAACGTTGAAGTCACAGAAGCAGAGTAGAATGGCCGTTGCCAGGGGCTGGGAGATGGGGGGATGGAGAGATGTTGGTCATCGGGTACAAAGTTTCAGTTATGCAGGATGAATAATCTCTGGAGGTCTAACGTACAGCGAGGTGACTACAGTGGATAAAACCATGTTGTACACTTGAAATTTGCTGAAAGAGTAGATATTAAGTGTTCTCACCACACGCGCGAGCACACACACAAGGTAACTACGTGAGGTGACGGATATGTTAATTAGCTTGACTATGGTAATCATTTCACAATGCATATGTATATTAAAACATCATGTTGTGCACGTTAAATATATACAATTTTTATTGGCCAAATAAAAAAATAAATATATATTTTTACATTCAAAAAGCTGAGAGAAAAAAGCACATGTGATATGGCCCCACAGAGCTCACTGAGAGTAACTTGGACACTTAAGGCCAACAATTTTTAATGGAATAGAATACCACTCCTCCTTAAAAAAAGGAGAGAAAATGTCACCAATCCACTCCTGAATCGGTGCTGTTAATGTTAGCATGCATATATATGGTGTTAGCCACCTCCTCTTATGGGACCAACACCTATGTAGAGGGCCCAGGAGTCACAGCTGAAGCTTTCTGTTCCCTCTGATGAAAATGCCAATGGATCATGAAGAGTGACGCCATTCCAAGTTGAAAAAGGGACCAGATGGAAGGAAATCCCACCACGAGGACAAGGCTTCACATTGGAAGCTGCAGCTACTGTGAGGCCCAGGTGTCTATGGTGACACACCTGTCCCAGCTCCATCTCTTAGCAGCTGGGTGACCTTAGACAGAGCATTTAGCATGTTTGAGGCTCAGGTTCCTTGCAGAGCCTGGCGAGAGTGGTAGCAAAACTATTTCCAGGCATGGCTTGTGGAATCCATCCAAGCATTCAATAGGTCTTATCTGTGGACAGCGCCCAAGCGGAAGGGCTTTTATTTATGCTTCCCCCAAATAAATAAAATTTACTCAAGTTCTCTAAATGATTTTTTCTTTAAAGATCCAACAGTTAGGAAAACAACAAACAAGTTATTCTACACATACCTATGATCAGCATACTAATAAATTTCCTGAGAAGATTATTACCTGCCGGCTGGACCCACAGAGCTGTTTGATCTGTCTGCTTTTTCGCGATGCAAGTCCAGGTTTCGTCTGGATCCTGAATCCATTCAGCGGCCTCACAGAACAGCTGGCCTTGATCTGAGGGCTGCAGGCTCCTGATGGACAACCTGAAGGTAATGGCCCCAAGCTTGTCCAGCCGCACGTCACCGGCTGCAAACCTCTCTTTGTACGAGGGCCCGGGGGTCAACATAAACTCTCTGGAGAGGGAGATAATCTTCACGGCTTGACTTCCTGCTCCCTCCTGCATCAGGTACCAGGCGACGGACAGGTGAGTATGTTGAGCTGTGGCTTTGGCTGCCTCACAGGTAAGTTCTAATGGCTCACCTTCCTCCTTCCTGAGAGTCTGGGAACTCATGGTGGCAGAGAGGGTATCTGCAATAACTGGAAGCAAAGGAATGATGGTAATCGGCTGAGCCCTGTCAGACTCGCCTCCTTCGATGAAGATGGCGCCCTGACCCGCCATCTGTAAGGCACATATTTTAGAGCTGCTTTTTCGCTAGCTGTATGCTTTCCTGGCCATATGCTTTCCCTGTTGGCAACAGGAACATTGCATCTATGTACACACAGTCCATGCAACTCGGCAAAGCTAATGGCTTACTGATGTACCGACCCTGGCTTTACATTTTTAGCATAGGCTGTAACAAATTTAGCTACTGAGACACAGAGCATTTAAAGGGGAAACACACTGGGAGCTAGAAGACCTAGATTCTGATCCTAAATCTGTCCCTATTTGACTACATGAACTGGAGCAAGTCACTTCCCTTCCCTGGGCCTTCACCTGCTCTTTTATAAAATGGACTTCTGAAATAATGTGTTATAATCTAGCCTTCAGATCCAAAATGCAACCCTCACCAAAGTTATGATGACCATCCTACTACCCTACCATCCTCTCCTTTCTCAAAGGAAATCACGCAGCCTAAGCTTAAGTGAGAGCAACAGTGAGATTTAACCAATGAATATTTACTGAGCATCTAGTCAGGGCTAGCTAGCTACCATGCAAGGGGCTGAGATAAACTTTCTCTTCTTATGGAGCTCAGGGTGAGGTAGGAGAGAGTCAGAGAAGTAGCCAATTACCACGTAAACTGGGTGAGTACTAAGAAGACTGGTGTGAATAGAAAATCAAGAGGAAACAAAGATGGGAATACTGCCTGAGATTGTCAGGACAGGTTTCACAGGATAAGTAACATCTAAACGGGGTCCTGAAGTATATGTAGGAGTTTGCTAGGCTGAAAAGTGGGGGGTGGAGTGGGGTGGGGGTGATAAGATATTCTAGGCAAAGGGACAAAATGGTACTTGCAAGAATGATGACTCTCTCCCCTTGGGTAAATATGCTAGAGAATGGTAGTTTGAAAATAAGCATTTCTAAGTTAATGACTTATCATCTATGATATTAATACCTGCTCTCTTAGCAAGTTACTGTTCTGCCTCCAGGGGAGACATGACATGGGGAGAACGCGCAAAGCTTTGTCTGATACTGTTGCTATTATCAACCTTTGGATACCTGTGGACAAGGCCTTGGGAAGACCACACGCTATCTCAGTCTTCAGGGCAAAGATGACTGGAAAAATGAACTGAGAGTTTTAGAGAATATGAGACACCTATTTGGGACAAATCTCTAAAACACCCAGAGGGGTACGTGGGCTCTTTGGTCAAAGCAAACAGCACAATATAAAACCATGTTACAATGCAAGGCATTGTGAGGACAGAGACCCTGCCTAGCAGAGGGCAGACAGCTTACCAATTAGATTAGTCTTTGCACTGTAATTCCCATAGTATTTCCCGTCAGTGTTCGGTGTGTCACACTCATACTCGCCCGAGTCCTTCATCTGGAGCTTGGAGATGTGCAAGAAGACTGAGTCACCCCGAACCCTCTCGATGTAGATTTCCCTGTTTCGTACCCGCTGTGTGTACACTGCGTAAGTGAAGGTGGCATCCTTGGTGCTGACGATCTGAACTTTGCGGGCCGGGGCTGTCGATAGGCAAACAGACCACTGGAAATGCTGCTCGGAAGGTCCCTTGTAGCCAGTTACATTGCAGCCGATGCTGGTGGGGTAACCTTCGGCTCTAAATAGTGGTCCTTTCTGAACTGTTACTTCTCTCTGGCCAAAGCTGAGTTTAGCTTGCAAGGAGGAGAAAGAAAGGGGGAATAAAGATAGATTAGTGCTTCGGCTCCCAGGGTGCTGCCGTATGTAGCTCCCAGTATCACAATTCTCGTAAATGAGATCGCAGGTTATCAGCTGTAACCAACTCAAAGGTCCCGCACCTCTTCAGGCTGAGGAGCAGTGTAATGGCTGGATGAGTTAATTGTTCTTTTATAACTTCCCTCGTAATCTCTAGTCCCTTTAAAAAACAGATTTAGTTTCATCAATGGAACATGGCCCTTACCATGCAACCAATCTGTTTATCTAAGTGCACGTCTTTTAAAGTAAAGGCAATGTATGATAATTCACCATTACATTATTTTTATGGGAAAATTCAGCATATGCTTCCTCGAGCCTCAGATTCCTGGATACCTGTTCTCACGGGAGTGAGTGCTGGAGAGGCAGGTCTCCAGCGCTGCCTGCAGTGCCATCCATGCTTTTTCCTGCTGATTGATTGTAACTATTTGTAGCTCCTGGCCAGGTCTGATGTAAGACTAGCTAAAATTAGCACCTGGAGAGACAGTAGCACTTCCTTTCTATGCTGTGGAGGTTTGCTGGCTTTGTAATTTTTTTTTTTTAAAGAGCTACAACAGCTTTATTGAAAAGCTTCATAAAGATGGCTGTCAAATCCAGTAGGATCTGGAACTAGAATTTATTTGAATTCTTCTCTTACCCCAGATTTTCAGTCGGGATCATTGTGGGATGTTTCCTGTTGGGACCAATCTCATGTATTAGATTTAAAGGAGAAAACATTCTTAAACGGCAACATTTCCTCTGACATACACATTTTCAACATTTTGAAGTGTTTTTCAGAAGTTAAAATGTATGTGCTTATGTTAACATTAAAAGCTAGGCGGCAGGATGGCTCAGCTGGTGGGAGCACTTGCTCCTAAAAACAAGGCTGCCAGTTCGACTCCCACATGGGATGGTGGCTTCGCCCACCTGCAACTAAGATTGAACACGGCACCTTGAGCTGAGCAGCCATGAGCTGCCGATTGGCAGTCGGATGGAGACTGGACTTGGAGCTGAGCTAGCTGCGCCCTCCACAACTAAGGTTGAAGGACAACAGCTTGGCTGTTCCCCTTCCCCAATTCCCCAATAAAATCTTTAAAAAAATAAAAAAGCTAGTTTATTTCATGTTACAGAGAGAACAAAGAACAAAGACAGAGATGCCACGAGGGTAAGCTGGATCTTTCCGGGGGGAGGGAGGGTGAGTGGGGTGAGAGGGAGGGTGTGGAGGGGCAGGTGGGGTGAAAAGACATCAGACAAGTCCCCGGGAGCGAGTGCTAGTTTGAAGGAATCAACAGAATGAAGTTCAGGAGACGATATGGAAGACTCAGAGCATACACTTAGCTGTGTGACTCTACAGCATAAAGAGCAAAAGAGACAGGAGTGAAGAAAAAGTCACAGAACCCAGGACAAGTCTGAGTGTAGGAATTCTGGGACACAAACAATTGTGATGGAAGGGGGCCTGTAAAAAAGTGGGCAGAAGGGGTAAGTAGTTACCTGATACAGTCGACTAAAAATTGCACTTGTGTGCTCAGTGCAAAACTGAAAAACAAACAGCCAACCAAGCATGCACACTTCCAGTAATAATTTAAAATACACTAATTTATTCATAAATTCCAATTAATATGATATATTTAAATTATACTTAGGAATAGAAGTTAGACCATCTGAGAAAAATTGAAATTAATACTTACCAAAATAGTCTACTACAGAGGCCATTTAAAACATTTTCAGCAATGCCAGCCAGTCGTAGACATATATCTTTGTGAAATGTATGTACTGAGCAGTAGGCTACATGTAAAAGAATACCCATAACTGTACTGTTCGTTATAACCTCCAAACCAGAGACCACCCATATGTCCATCAACAGAAGAATAGAGAAACTCTGGTACACTCATAAAATGAAATATACAGAAATGAAAGTGGAAGAAATGAGGGCCGGCCGAGTGGCGCGTTGGTTAGGAGTTGGCTTGGGATGCCAGCTCTGAGCAGCAGGGCCTGGGTTTGGATCCCACATGAGGGCCAGTGACGCTGCGCCCTCTACAGCTAAGATGGTGAACAACAGCTCGACCTGGAGCTGGGCTGCTCTGCTTCACCGGCGACGGCGTAGGTTGCAGTGAGGCTGGCCGGCAGTGGGCGTGAGCTGCCGTGAGCGGCCATCCAATGGCCAGCCAGTGACTGCCTCACCCAGGAAGGGGGCAATGATAACACCAACATGGGCCAGTGAAGCGACGTCCTCCACAACTAGACTGAAGAACAAAAGGACAGCAACTTGTCTGTTCCCCTTCCCTGATTCCCCAACGCTGTTCCCCTCCCCCAATTCCCCAATAAAATCTTTTTTTTTTAAAGTGGAGGAAATGTAATGAGTTGCAAAAATATAAATGACTGTGTTCAATAAAAGATGTAAAATACTTTTTAATCTTTTTGACTACATACAGAATGAGTCTACTCTTTATAAAGTTTTAAAACAGGCAAAACTACACTGACTTGTTTAGTGATGCAAACATAAAGGATAAGAACACTTTTAAAAAACAGAAAAGCTAGGAAGTGGTTATCATGAAAGTCAAAAAGGGGTTGTGTGTGGTGGGGGAGGGTTGTGATCTGAGTGGGGCAGAGGCAGGGTGGTGGGTGGATGGGTGGTTCCAGGGTCCTAGCAATTTCCTACTTCTCGACCTGGGTAGTGATTACCCGGTTTGTACTTTTTACTTATTTGTTAAGGTGCACATTTATGTTTTATTAGCTGTTGTTAGGTGTTATATTTCACAATAAAAATGTCTTTAAAAATGTGGTTTCTTGAGGTATCACTAACCTGTTTATATCAGGGCGTGTGTCCAAATGTTATTTTTGGTAGCTAGACAACACTTGTTCAACGTTTTTCATGATTTTTCAGAGAGATGGGTACCACACCTGAAACGTTTTATGGTGAAAACCAGCACTTCATTTTCTACTGCTTTCTTTTTTCTTTTTTTGCCAATTCAATAACTATTTATTCAACTACCTAAAGTATTTCTGATGCTTCAGGAACCAAGATGTGAAGATGAGTTTGGGATGGTCTCTGACTTCTAGATTTTATATTTTAGTCTAGAAGGGTGATAGTCCTCACAGAGAGATGCAATAGAAGTGCTTTGAGAAATTTGAAGGAAGGAGAACTTACATATTTTGGGGAGAGAAGGAGGTCAGGTTTATGAAGGAGACAGTATTAGAAGTGAACTTTGAAGAACTGGAAAAATTATGACAATTTAAGTGGGGAGACAGGGCCTGTTAGGTGAGGATACTTCATGACAACGAATGTATGATTAAGAACCTAGAGAGCTGTCCAGAAAATAGGGAGTAATCAGTTAGATTAGGGGAAGAGTCAACAGAAGGGTGTAAGACTGCCTAGGGAATCCAGAGAACAAAGGACTTGACGATCATGATTAAATGTTTGAACTGGATTGATTCGGCAATGGGGAATCTACTGAAAATGTTTGAAAGCTCTTAGGAAAATTAACCTGACAACTATGTGTAGGATGATGGAAATTAGAAATAGACATCAGGTTAATTATAGTAGCCCAGGAGAGAAGTGATGAGGGCAATAGAAATGGAAAGAAAGGGCGACAGTTGAAGAGCCACTGTGGTGATAAAATGTATAGTTTTTCAGTGTCTTGGAGGCTTGGAGGTAGTAGGGGTGCATGGAGGCATGGAAGGCAGGAAAAAAATCAAAGATGCTACCCAGGTTTTATGAGGGTGACTGGGGGAATAATGGTACTGTTAGCAGAAATAAAGATATCAGGAAGGGGCCAGCCCAGCGGCACGTTGGTTAAGAGCTGGCTTGGGACGCCAGCTCTGAGCAGCAGGGCCTTGGTTTGGATTCCACATGAGGACCAGTGACACTGCCCTCTACAGCTAAGATGGTGAACAACAGCTCGACCTGGAGCTGGGCTGCCGTGAGTCGCCAGCTAACGCGTAGGCTGCAGTGGGCTGCTGTGAGCTACTGTGAGCGGCCATCCAGAGGCCGGCGACCCATCTGCCTCACCCGGGAAGAGCGCAATGATAATACCAACATGGGCCAGTGAAGCGATGTCCTCCACAACTAGACTGAAGAACAAAAGGTCAGCAACTTGTCTGTTCCCCTTCTCCAATTCCCCAACGCTGTCCCTCTCCCCCAACTCCCCAATAAAATCTTAAAAAAAAAAATATCAGGAAGAGTTAGTTGTGGGTTCATGGGTGAGAAAGAAGAGAACGCATTTAATTTTGGAAACACTAAATTTGTGTATCATGGAACAAACAGGAAGGAGAGCCAGCAAATATTTAAATGTATAGGTATATATATATATTTGTGCTTTACAGTCGTCTGCCCTTTGAAAATGTGTATAATCTAATCCTTTCAAGAACTCTGTGATATTTCCATGCTTAGCAAAGTCAAAACTTGGAAATGGTTGAGCCAGACTTGAACCTAGATTTGCAAATGCAAAATCTCTGGCTGTCTCCATGGTTTCTCATGGCTCCCTGTAAATGCTGGTTTATAACTAGGGAGCGTTCTGCGCTATGGATGCCGATTAAGTCAGTTACGTATAAGGACTGGGAAGTGTTAGGGAATATAAGGAAGAGGGCTGGAGACAGACTACTAGAAAACCTCTCTATTTTGGGAGCTGGATGAGGAACCAAACCTACAGAAGGGGGAGTTGGGAGGTGAGAGGGCAGCCAGGGTACAGGGGCTTGGAAACCAAAGGAGGGGAGACATTCCAATAAGGGCTTGTCAGCCTGAGAAATGCTGCTGAGACACTGGAGATTCTAAAGGCAGGAGAAAGTCCTTTTAGTTTGATGACAAGGATGTCAGTGGAGATCCTTGTGAAAGAGACTCCGATCAGGCAGAAGCAGCAGATTTCAAAGGTCAGGAGCCACTGCAGGAAGTGTGTGAACCACTTCAAGAAGTTTCATGTAGAAGGGAAAGAGATGAATAAGAAGGCAGCTAGAAAGGCGTGCTGGGTAGAGAGAAGCAGTGAGGGCCCAGCGGGGCCACAGGTGCCATACTGACGGGCAGAGCAGCAGTACCGGGCAGAGATGGGCAAGGCCAGAGAGGACGTGAACGGTCCTCACAGGAGGGTCCTCGTGGAGGCACGAGGTCAAGGACATGCCTGGACGGCGCCGCTTCCTCAGAAAAGCGAAAGAAACCGTGCAGATGTTTTACAGGTGTTTTTGAGGTGGAAACGAACGACTGACAGAGGTCAGTTCTCATGGCTCTGCATTGGGATCATATGCAGAAGCATCTTATTATAAATAGAGTCTCTGGGGCTGGCTGAGTGGCTCAGTTGGTTAGAGCGCGAGCTCTGAGCAACAGAGTCGCCGGTTCCATTCCCACATGGGACAGTGAGCTGCGCCCGAGCTGAGCTGCCAACAGGCGGCAGGATGGCTCAGCTGGTGAGACACGTGCTCCTAACAGCAAAGTTTCCAGTTTGACTCCCACATGGGATGATGGGCTATGCCCATCCGCAACTAAGATTGAACACGGCACCTTGAGCTGAGCGGCCGCGAGCTGCCATCAGGCGACCGGATGGCAACTGGACTTGGAGCTGAGCTAGCTTGCGCCCTCCACAACTAAGATTGAAGGACAACAACTTGGCGCCCTTCCCCAATTCCCCAATAAAAAAGAAAAATACATTCTCTATGGGATATGTGATACGTATCTCTCCTCCTCTCAGAGGGTGAAGTACCTTGGAGGACTGTCCCGTTGTTTTTTCCTCTAATGCACAGAGGGTCAGGTACCTTTGCACAGCGGCTCAAGTTCTTGTTGGTGGACGGGCACAGCGCTCAGCACTAACACGCTGCATTGGAGTCACACTTTGGAACCGTGAAGAATGCCCTAATGGCATTGACTTTCTTTCAGTCAATTCCTGGGAACACCCAGTTGACCATTTCAGTATTATCTGAATGGAAGCTATTGAGCGGAACCATATAAAATGGCCCCTATTTGAACATGTTTGATACACAAAAAGAGCAACTTCGAATGATTCCATCTTATACAAAACCTACCTGGAGAACATCTCATACAAGCAACTTTTTTTCTTTACACATGCAAAAAACTCTAGATGCTCAGAGGTTGAGACAGATTCTATCCATAACTGAGTGTAAGGTTTTTTTTTTTATGAATGCAGGCTCAGTTAGACAAACAATAGCCCCTCCCCAGGACGCTCCCCATGTTAATGGCCTTTTTTTGTAGGACAGCTAGTGAGGGTGAGAGGTGACACATCAAGCAGGTAAAACTAAGTGCTAAATCCAAGAGCTTATTTACCTCATCTAGCACCATATTCTAACAGGATTACTCAGTCTTTACATTTATTTGAAGAAATAAATTAGGACAAAGTATACATTTGCTAAACAATGCAATGGATCAATTGATCATCTAATTCGTGTCTTTTGTTTCCCCCTCAATATTTATGATGACAACTAGCAAAATGTTTTCAAGTTACTTCTTGATGTATGTGTTCTTCACATAAAACATGCGGTTCTACACACAATTAGTGCTGAGGATGAGTCAGAATTTAGAAGGAAATGTAGAACCCAGTTTGGGTAATTGTTTACATGGGATAAGGAAAAGCTAGTAGCTTCCCCTTTTTGAACCTGTTTACTATTTTTCTTCCCCCAGGCCTTTCAGCCTGAGAGAGAGAGAGGAGAGGGAGGGACGGAGGGGGGAAAGGGAGGAGGGAGGGAAAATTTGCAATTGTCTGACTTCCCAATATAAACCCAGTTTCCCCCTATACACAAGTGAAACACACACTCCAAATACACTAAGTGGTTTGAGAATCCCACTTAAGAATCCCACTCAGACAATCAGACGACAAAGAAGAACACACCAGCCAACAGTCCCCAAAAGATCCCAATCGCCCACCTGGCCGTCCGCACCTGCCAGGCCAGTCTAGTGGGCACTGATCACCCAGCACCTGGTCCTCGGTCTTTCCCTGTAGGCCACCTCAGGTCCCAGATCTGATCTTCACTTCTCACTATCCAATGTCCCTTGAGACATGAGCCCAGTTCAACTCAAGCCAATGTTTATTAAGCATCCCTTTGGCTGAATGCTGCTCCATTTTCATGCTTTACCCACAGGCCTGGTCACACTGGCTGTAGGTTCTAGTTCCCGTACTATCCCAGTCATTCAAGTCCCTGCCTTAACTCAGTCCAGTCTCTGTACAGTAGGGGTTCTTCACCTGGGTCTACATAGGGAATTAAAGGGTCCATGCACTTGGGTGGGGAAAAAAATATATAGCTTTATTTGCACTAATCTCAACAGAAATTTCCTTCAGTCGTGGCTGTAGACAACAAACCATAGCTATCTTCTTTTCACATCACACTAACGTTATTGCAGATATCTTGAAACATTGTTCATACTCATCGCTATTTGAAGTTTGGTGATTAATAGACCACCTCTAAATCTTGTTATACAATATGTAAAGAAGCAAATAAATGACCACATCACAATTTAAACATGTGTTGATAACTGCAATTCAATATGATTGATTTCCCCCATAATCCTATGCATTTTATTTTATCCATTTAAGAAATGAGTCTGAGGTGGGGTCCATAGGTCTCACCCGATGCTAAAGGAACCCACAGCACGAAAGTACGTGCTACCTGCTCTATCTGCTCTCGTATTTAATTCCCTGCCCACCTCATCTGTTCTCCCCCTCACCTCTGAACTTCCCGTTCCTCTACCTGGTTCTAGCGTGTATAAATATGCCTGTGGGCCAGCTAAGTCCCCTCCACATGCCCTTCTGCAGAGCCAAGTGAATCTCCCTGCCCCCACCCCCAGTCCCTTAGTAATCAATGCCCACTTGAGCTCACAGGGGAAGCCTAGAACCTTCTTTTAGCTTAGCCTAAAATGATGAGGTACTCTAATGACCTTTCTCTCCAACCAGCCACATCCCCAAGGCACACTTACTTCGTCAAGCTCTAACATCAGGCAAGCCTTAAGCTCACCTCTCATACTGAGGAGCTAAGCCTCTTACTATTTCCAGGGATAGGCCACCCCCAGAAGGCATGGTAAAGGCAGAGTCAGCAAAACTGGCAGGTCTGGCAATACAGACAGAAGTCAAAACTAATTGCCAACACCAGCAAGGTGTGGTACTGTTTTTCCTGCAGAGGCCAAATTGTCCTGTTCCATCCTCCAACAGCCTCCAGTTAGCTGCCTAGTCCGTAACAAGAGAAACATGCAGAATTCCGACACTTACTCAGAAAGAGAAAGAAAGATGCCACACATGGGATGCGTGCCATTTGGACCAGTAGAGACCTTTCCTGGTGCTGTCACTGAAGTTGCTCGGACGCCAAGTGACAAATACTGTGCTCTCACTACCAAGAGGAAGTGGTGTGGTTTTCAGCCCACGGAGAAACAGAGATGGCTTGCAATAAGCAAAACTGGTTGCATTATGGCTCTTTGCTAATCAGATTCGGATGTGAAAAGGCTAGTTTTCTTCATGGGTAAGTTTATGTTTATACAGACAAAAATAAGAAAACATAGGTCTCATCCTAGCTAAATATGCATCAGTAGGTAATCACAAAAGAATTTAAGTAAACTCAATAAATAAAAAATTAAGCAGAGGATGGCCGATTGGCTCAGTTGGTTAGAGCACAGGCTCATAACACCAAGGTAGCCGGTTTGATTCTTACATGGACCAGTGAGGTGCGCCCTCTACAATTAGATTGAAAATAATGACTTGACTTGGAGCTGATAGGTCTGGGAAAACATACTATTCCCCAATAAAATTTATAAAAAAATAATAAATTAAGCAGAAATGTTCTCTTCTTAGCTCTTACCTCTCCTCTCATCTTGGGAGAGGAAAGACCTGAGAAATTAGAGAAGGACCCCTGGAAAACATAAACCTGGGGAGACATGAGGTGACAGTGAGGATGGCAGACTCTAGAGTCAGGCGGCCTGGGTTTGCACACACGTTCTCCTTTTGATAGCTTTGTGCTCTTAGTAAAGTTAATTAACCTTTTCTAACCCTCATCTATAAAATGGAGATACTAATAGTATGTACCCCCTAAGGTTGCTGTGAGAATTGAATACACTAATTTACTTCAAAAGCTTGGAACAATATCTGGTACATGGTAAGTGCTCAGTGAATATCAGCTACTGTCATGCGACATTTAAGTAAAACTTGATCTGCCCAGTGTGGGCCTGGGCACCAAGGATGGCGGGGGAGTGCCTAAGTGGGCATGGAACTCTGGCCCACTCAACCCACTCTAGTCCTAGGAGACAAGACCAGACAAGGGGTGAGCTCACCGAGGACAACAGCACGCGAGTCAAGCCTACACTTAGATAGCCCACAGTTACAGGTGGATCTCGGGCTGTATCCATCCATCCCACAGTTTTTAGTACTTCTATGTTCTGGGTGCTGGGGTAGGCTGTGCACATACAAAGGTGTTAACGACCCAGCCTTTGCCCTCAAGAAATGTCCACTTGACCAGATAATCACAATGCAATGCTGAAAGCACAATAATCAATATGGCACCCAAAGCGAATTGGGGAAGTGGGTGGGATAGTCAGGATGGGCTGGGCTGGGCCAAAAGAGACAACTAGGGAGGAAGGGGCCAGGTACAGTTGGGGAGAAACTGTTTTAGCATGAATCATGTCCCACCAACTGTGCCCTTCTGTTAGAGTCAAGCTTGAAGGTGGTGTGAAGGACAAAGGTCCAGAGAGGTAGATTGCGTAGATCTGTGGGCCACGCATGCCATGCCTAAGAGCTTGTCTTTTAGCCCACCGAAGAAGGGAGCTATTGAGAGGGTTTGTTTGTTTGTTTAGCAGGAAAATAGTATGGTCAGATTTTCCTTTAAAACTGAATTCCATGTTTGGAATTTGCTACCTGGCTGAGAGATGAGGAAAGGAGACAAGGCCTTTTTCCAGTTTTCTGTATGAGCAGGAACGAGGGCCTGAATTAGGGCATTTAACCTAAAGACAGAGGAGAGGTAGATGATGAAGGAGTCACACGCTCAACAGAGCTCCAGCTGTGCTACAGGGGCAGCATCCTGTCAGTGCTAGAGATGCACATGGAAATGAGGTGGAGCCTCTGATCTCAGGAACTTGTTTGTGATGGTGAAGCACAGTGGGGTCAGCAGGAAAGAAACAAGACCATGACCAGCTACCCTGATTCCCCGAAAATAAGACCGAGCCGGAAAATAAGCCCTCACATGATTTCAGGTGCCAAAATATGGCACCGTGGCATACTGAATATTTTAAGCTGAAGTGGTTTGTGGAAAAGGCACCCTTCTCCCTTACACAGGTCATAAAACGCTCATGTGAGGGGTGCATATGCCCTCTATATCCTGGAGGAATCATGCTACGGCTTCTTCTCTGGCTAGGTCTTATTTTCGGGGGAACACGGTATCACACAAGGTAAAGTAGGTGAGGCCCCCCAGGAGAAACACAAGTGAAGAGGTATGGACATTCGGAGGCGGAAAAGAGCACGTCTAGCTTGAGGACAACAGGAAATCAGGAAACTCTCCCCGGAACAGGCAGCATTTTAAGCCAGGGTTTATTTTCCCAGCGGGAATTATGGTGCAGCAGGGTAACATTCCACAAACTCAGGGCTGGAGGCCTTGAGGCCTCTCAAGTCTATCCTTTCTTTATTTTTTCCCTCTTTTTTTTTATTATATAATTGACATATAAGATTGTATTAGCTTTAGGTGATCAACATAATGATCTCCCATTGGTTTTATTCATTAGCAATGATACCTAACAATCAGTTCCACCAATGTCAGTTAACCTGCAAGTACTAATGTGTTTAGTAAAAGTCCCCGTACTTCCCTTTTCAACGTACTATGCAAGGCTTGGGTTACAAAAGAAGGGAAGACGGGCCTCGCCCTCCAAGAACCTAACTCTCGTCTGTATTCAAGAAATAGTAGCCATCGAAGGCAGTGTGTGTTGGGTATCCAATTTATGGTTCAGGCAAGAAATACCCTATGAGTCAATTGGCTGTGGGTCAGCTAGAGGGAGCTGGGTGCTCTAGGGTGACCTTGGCTTGGATCCTTGTCACATCCCTCTAGTAGGGTAGCCGGGGCATATTTTCATGGTGACATCAGGGGCCCAACAGAATTAGGGGAAATACATCTGTATTTTCTAAAGCATCTACTTGCATCACGACTGCTAACATCTCCCAGATCAAAGCAAGTCACATGGCCAAACCCAAATGTAAGAGATGGGTTAACAGGCTCCATCTCGTTAGTGTAGAGAACTGCAAAGGGACAGGGCAAAGGGACGGGTAAAGAACTGGGACCATAGATGCAATCACTCTGCTAAGCGCACTGAAAAGAGAATTATTTTAGAAATCAGCATTGACCAACAGAGACAATCATTGCCAATAACACAGAGTACCCTGTATTCCCGAAATACACACAACCAAGTAAATGCTATGCAACGTCTCATACCTGGCTGTGGCCAAAAAAAATTGTTTTTTCCATTTCCATTTTAGTGGCTCCATTTCTGCCAGAATTTAACATTCACAGGGTGATGTCACTTCTTTCCTGGACAGAAAAAAAAAGAAAAAGCAGCTTTCTGTTGTCAAGGAAAAAAAAAAAAAAGAAAGGAAAAACAGAGCCGGCAAGGGACAGTTATTCTATTATCTTGGGAAACACTGCATTGCAATTGTGTCAGATGAAAGGAATGTAAAAATGCCGCTCTTGATTCAGATGGAAGGAGAAGGCCAGTTCTGGAAAAAGCAACACAGGAATGTAGTCAAGAAAAAATCTGTCCCAGGTCCTGGAAGATTAATGAAGATATATATTTTTTTCCAGGTTTGACATGCCCAAATATTAATTCCTCAGAATCATAGGAATTATAGCTATTGCAGCCTCCTATCCTAAGCATGCCTATCCAGGCCCAAGAAATATTTAAACAGGGACCTTTGACATGTCAGGATCTGTGAGGCATTTTCACAAATGCAGTTTTATAGAATAAACCACGTCACCAAGTGACAGGTGTTACTATTCCCATTTTACAGATGAGAAAACCGAGGCACAGAGGAATCAACTAACAAGCTTGTATGGCTAGGAAATGGCTGTGTTCTAAGACAGCCTTCTTACTTTTTGTCCAGTGCTCTATTATACCTTCTAGCTTGCCATTCATAATTTTCAGAAGGTAGAATGTGTGTGAGAGAGGGAGTGGCTGGAGGACAGGAAAGGAAACCCCCGAGGGGTCAGCAGGAAGCTGGTCATGATTTTGCTCCTTTCCCTAGGTGGGCTCTTACAATTTAGGTCTGATTGATGGCTAGCGACCCCACAGGTGTGGGACTTGCCCAGGTGTATGGGCTGAGCCTGATGTCTACACATATGAACTAGCAAGCAGTGACACCACAGGAAAGGATCCAATGATCTCAGTCAACTCCCTGCATGTTTTACAAACTGAAGGCAAGACCCTTGACCAGCAAAAAGACTACAATGCTCTCTGTTACAGTATTTGCTTTATTAGGTAATCTGGAACTGAACCCACAAGATTGCTGAGGTATGCCTATAATGAATTCATTCTACCTGTTGTCACAATTTGAGGGCTTCGATTTTTCACCTGGACTAAACGGTTTGATTCGTCTTCCGGCCTTGCCTGTGGCCCCACCTCCCCTGCTGCCAGAGTAATCTAAAGTGCAAGCACTGCCATGTACTCTCCTGATTACTTTTTCAGGGGCTCCCCAAATATTTCTAGAGGATCAAGTCCAAACTCCTTGACTTGACTTTTACGTGCTGGCCCTTGGGATATCTGCCATGACTTCACCCTTCAATGCTCACCCTTCAGACACAGAACCACAGTATTTCTCTGAACGTGTCTTTTTGCATCGTTTCCCTCTTTAAGTTTGCAAATGTTATTGGTTGGTGCAAAAGTAATTGCGGTTTAAAAGGTTGGGGGAGAAATGACAAAAACCGCAATTAGTGTTGAACCAACCCTTTGCTTAGAACCTTCCCCCATCACTACCTGGTAAACGACCATTTAAAAACTTTTTAATGCATATCCTAGGTGAAACCTTTCTTGACACCTTCCAGTTCACCACTCCTTCCTCTGTGCTATGACAGTGAACTTCTATAATTTTGCTTATTATATGTAATAAAATGAGTTATTTACATGCCCCCTCTCCTAAAAGGCCACGAATTTCCTAAGGGCAGGGTCCAGTTCTTACGCAACTCTTACTCAAGAAATATTTACTGAATGCCTAGCACACTCAGGTCCTGCAGCTGGCGTAGTGATTTAGAACATTTACAGACTTGGGAGACAGATCTGAGTTCAAATCTTGAGCAAATTACTTAATTTCAGTCTCAATTCTCTCATCTATAAGAATGGGGAAAAGAACGGCAGACACTCCATTGTCTGACATGATTAAGAATTGTTAGTTGATCAATTAACAGAAAACGTGAGGTAAGGTTGGAAATCATAAAAAGAAGCCTCTATGTCTTAAAATTTTTATTTCCACCTCAACCACATACACATATAAATTCATTCACCCATCTCTTGGCCCAGGCCCCGGTCTTTCCTTTGAATATGGGTCTCTTGTCTGGAGTCTTCTATCACTTTTTTGCATAAACCAAACCTGTAATGTCTTTTCTACAAATTTCAGGCTTGATTTCTTTAACATGGAGTAAGGATTTAAAAACCATCTGTGAAGCCAATGGGGTACAGAATCCTTCCACATTTTTGTGATTTGTCCCCCCTCAATCTTTTATAAAGTTGTTTTGCCTGGACCTAAATTGATAACATTTTTTGAAAAGCAATTTGCCTCTATTGTCTTTCTAGAGAATGCATCCTACTTTTTTTTTTAATCAACACTTCTTTCTTTGGCACTCATATTTCATTGGTTTGCATACTATTCAATGAATTTATATACTCGTAGTAGCCAGTACTGTTGGCACAAATAGGTTGGAAAATAAACAGAACAGAGAGGGCTCATGTGAGCATCGCTTCTCTGGATGGAGCTGAGCCCCCCAGGCCTACTGGAGCAGTATACAAGCGCCCAGCAGGAAGTGTATTCATCAAGTCATTTTATTGTTTTTTGATACTTGGACATCTAAAGCCTTGCTGATCCTGGAGACTGCCCCTCCCAGCCAGTTCCTAGAGAAAGGAAAGGATTCGCCTGTGAGCACGCCTTTCATGTGCAAACCAACCAATCAAGAGCCCTTACTCCCTCCCACTCCTCCATTGGGCTCACACGCTTGCTGGGGACCCCTGTCCCCTGCTCTCATCACCCCAGGGACAGGCACCAGACAACCCCTACGCTCCAGAGCCAGCTGAAACGATCCAAACTAGTCCATCCGGAGTCTGCTTACCCGGTTCCTTCCTGTGAAGACCGCAATAAGGGCTGCGGCTGGCCTGCCTCTCTCTGGCCCCCTTGGCCTCCTGACAGCCTCTGGTGCTGCCCCGTGCAGCCCTCCCTGGCATGGCATGGCGTGCCCCCTCCTCTCAGGATCTGTGAGTACAACAACCTACCTTTTCAGTGGCAGTCATCTCCTGATCTGCTGGTGGCCCTGCCATCCCTAAATAATACTAAAACCTGTGTTTTAAACCAGTGTGGCCCACGCATTGGTCTGCGGGTTGCAGGAAATGGAGTGGCTGTTATTTGGAAGCCCCAGTTCCGTGGAGAACAGGCAAGAGAGCTTCTCCTGTAACCACCTCGGGGAGACTTGAGGCACCTCCCCCAGTGCATGACACGCCATCAGAACCCCCGTGTTACCTACTGTCACAATTAGGCACTGGGGCCACAGCGGTGAATGGTCCCTGTCCTCACATCACGCGCAGACCTCCAGAGCATCGGTCAGGGCAGCGCCACCTAGCAGAGAGGGACAGAGAAGCCTCCTGGGACCTAGAGCGGAGGCATGAGTTAAGCAGATGACGGGGAAACAAGCAGTATATGCCGAGCCTGAGGGCAAGTGAGAGGCAGGTTCCCTGAGCGTAGCACAATGCCTAGGCACGCAGTGGGTGTGCAAGCAAGTTTTGTTTTGTTTTTCATTTCAGCTGAGGCAGGAAGAGGTTCAATAGCAGGTCGGGGACTGCAAAAGCCCAGCTCTGACTGTGTCAGCCTCCTGGCGTGAGCAGGACCCTCCGGGTTCGCTGACAACATGCGCTTTCCAACAGCAGAGCGCTAACTCACTGATAAACCGCCAGTGCCTTCACCGAGACTGGGGCGGTGCCAACCCCTGGGCAGGGTTAGTAATCAGGGCACAGACCTCACAATGTGAGGTGGTCCCTGCCCAGGACACAAACGGACCAGGACACAGGAGAGAACATGGCAGCGGGTGACGGGGGGAGGCCAGCCACGGCTGAGCGGCTGCTGCAGGGGCCAGCAGGGAGTCGGGGTGCCCTGCCCTCCCTTCTGTCCAGGTCCCTGAACTCGGGGGCCTGGGCCAGCACCTTTTGAACTAGTTTGGCTCCAGACTGGGCTATGAGTCAGAAAAACCACACTGTTCAGTCACAATACGGTCACAGAACTTTGGTGTTTGTTTCCTCATCCGCAGAGAGGAACAACGTCTAACTTCTCTTTCCTGACAGGAGACCTGAAGGTCATGAGAATTTATCGAAACACCCAGAGACCTTCCATGAGGTCTGGCCCTCACTTTTCCACTTGGTGGGAATCTCAATATTGATCCTGTTAAATCCATTTCTTTCTTTTATCTTTAGTGAAAATCTACAATGCTTTCCTAGGACTCGTGAGATCAGAAGGTGCTAAAGCTGCAACAGGAATTCAGCCACAATCCCTCATGCAGGGGAGATGAAAGGGTAATACCCATATCAAGTTCCTCACACAACTCCAATTTAAATTAAACTTCCTTTAATGAAATAAAAAACAAATGGTGCATTGCATAATATTTGTGGTCACAGTATAAAACAATACAATTAGTTCATATAACATTGGATATGGACAAAAATACACGAGACCCTTTCTTTGTCTACATAAAAGTCGGCAGATCCTTATGTGCCACGCTTAAAAAAAAAAAAAAAGTCAACTTTTTTCTCCTAGTGATCTGCACACAATATTTATCACTGAGAATTTGGTCAAACAGTGGAGGAGAACGTACCCAAACCCCAGTTCCCTTCTTCCTCTGCTGTCATCGGTGAAGCTAACAAAAAAGTGTTTCTGAAAGGAGCAAGTTGTGTAGTATTGCTTATTATTATTCCTGCCCAAAAGGCTCAGTCTTTGGCTCACAGATATCAGTGACAAAATCATGGCTGCAGACAGCCTGCAAAGCAAGAAGCAAGAGCAACCAGGGATAACAGATAAGGGTCTGGGTAGGAGGGGCCTTCACCAGGACCTTAGGGAACGCCATGTGGACTGGAGGGGAGGAAAGACACCAATAAATAAATTTCTAAATTAAGATGGAAATCCAGTTGGCGAGTCAGAGTTCCACTGTCCCATGAAAAATCTGAAGAGTGGTCAAAAAGTCAGAGTTTGCATTTTTTCTTTTTCTTTTTTTTTTAAAGTGGAAAGTGTATGTAAACATTATAAAGTAAACAATTTAAAAGTAATGTTGAGGCTCCTACCTGAACATAGCGTAGGCTCTTTCTGGGGAGACTTTTAGGATTAGGAGAAAACCCAAACATTTTATAAAGTTTCTTTTTGTTAAGAAGTGCAATTTCATCCGTGTGAATCATGGCTAGCTCCTTCTTCCGTCCAGCCCGGTGCTTCTGGCAGGAAGCTCTTCCAAAACGCACTCTGGGAGGCCTCCATTTGGTACAACCAGAGTGCATCTCACACTTCTAAATGGACACGCATTCCAGGCAAACTGACGTCCCCGGGAGGAATGGGGGGCCTTGGCACAAAACCCTGGAAATTCTCCCCTCTTTGAACTAGCCCCAGAGGGCTTGCAGTTGGGCCAGCCCCATGGCCAGGGGGTGGGGTTGGGGTCAATGCCTTAGCAACCCCAGTCCTGAACAGCAACAGCAATTTGAAAGGAAAAGGTACAGTGTGTGAGCACACGTCACCTTCACTCCTACCGAGCATCTGGTGTGCCCCATCCATGGTTTCACAGACACCTGGGGCCACCTGGTCACGCCCCAAGCTAAGTGCCCTTTCCTCCTGCCAAGAAGGGTCTACCCACACTGCAACAATCCTAAATCTTCCTTTAGTGAGTGTGATAACTGCCAGGGCTCGAGGGCACCGGCTGCTACTAACATAGCACCTGTTGACAGGTGTGCTCGAATTCCAGTTTGTACAATCAATCACCTGGGACCACCGCCTCTGAAACAGCACAGTTAGGAAACGACAAATAGAAAATACCCAAGTCTAGCGCGCTCGAGGCCTCCTCCTCTTCCTCTAGTCACTCACACTCTGAGGAACACACCTGCCCTCCCCCCAACCCCGCATCTTCCCACCACAGACACCAGGCTTGGGATGCGTCTGTGCTGCCACCATTAGCGCAGAATCATGTCTGTCACATGAGTGGTCGCCTCTGTGGGCAAAACAAAAAAGAAAAAACCGAGCAGAAATCTGCCTCCTGGGGGTGAATCAGCGATAAGTGCAGAACGAATCGTGGGCAGGAAGATGGTGAGCCGGGAGGGGTACGGCTGGTCTGGCCCATTGTGACAAAGAGCCGCACATGAATGGCCATCGTTTTGTATTATTTTATTGCTCAAAACAAACGCATCTTTTTTTTCCCCCTTCAGATCTGTCAGGGCCGGGACAGCAACACAGAGGGGTGCAACGTGGGACATGAGTCACTCGCGAGCAAGCCTCAGAAAACCCCACCGGGATGCTTCCAGAAGGCCAGCGCTGTGCCGGGCGAGACACTTCAGGATCCCTTTGTCCCACTCCTGGTGTGAGCACTCGGGCAAAACGGACTGCTCTCTGATCTACTCTGTAGGCTGCTCACAGGGTAATAAATGGTCGGGTTTCCTTCTGTGCCTGAGAGGAAAGCAAACGTACCACAAAAGTATACCCTTTCTCACTAACCCGCTGCACGGGGAGCTTACAACGATCCGAAGGACTGAAAAGGTCAGAGAAAATGCCTGGATCTTCTAGGCAATTTCTGATTCCGTGAAGTCAGTCAGTCTGGCAAGCTGCAATTCCCCTTCACGTTACGGGGATCAGGCAGCCTGTGAAGGACGTGGGGTACCTGTGGGTCCCCCTGGCAGCCCCGTGGTGGCCAAGGCCTTTGCCTCCTGCGAAGGGCAGGAGAGGGGAACGGAGGCGGCTTCTTCCGCCTGACATGCCCCTGGCACCACTGATCGTCCCGGCATGAACTGCCGAAACCTACTTCCCCGATCTGCCTTCTGTGCTCCACGGGGTCCCCTCGGGGCACAGTGGCCTCAGCACTAACGGGGTGTCTGCTCCCTCCCTTGTGCCCAACCCCCTCTTCCTCGCAGACCCTCTCACTGCCCTGGACAGAGGTGGCTGTGTATTTTTCTTCATATTCATTCTTAAGGCTAAGGTGGCAAGATAAGGTGCTCGGTGGAGAGCCAAATTCTAGATTCCAGGGCCGCCATTTCAGCACTCGCACATAAAGCAAAGGACTGGAAAGGGGGCAGAGAAGCACGAACTAAAAATACGCATTTGGGCTCAAGAAGAAGTTACATACTGCAAGTTTAGATTTCAAATGTCGTCTCAACCCCTGAAAATAGGGGTGGGGCAGGGTTGTAAAAGCCACAAGTGAGCCTTCGGCACAGGGCTGCGTCCTCGTCTCTGAGCCGGAGGAGAGGGGAGCACCCAGCAGCGCCCTGCACACCTGCCTCCTGCCCCGGAGCCGGCTCGCCGGCAGGCAGTTACCGTCTCGCCCAAGACAAAGAACTCCGAAAGCCATCACCCCTTCCTCACCGCAACCCCTCGAAACAAAAGATACAAACACACACAAGTCAGACATCTATAAACCAGAAGGAGAAAAAAATTAGGCAGAGGTTAACCATTAAAAAAGCCGCCGTGGGGAAAACACACGCTCGATGGGTTCTCAGAAAAGTGCCGTGGGAAGGAAAGCCGTGTGCTGGTAAACATGTCCGCGCTCAGAACTTGACATGCAGAAGAGAGCGCCAAGTCCCACCTGAGATTAGAGAGGACGGGGTTTTTTCGTGGAACACACTTCGCTTTAACGTATCACTGTCCTCTTCTCGCCCAAACCGCTCCTGGAACGTCCCCCTGTCACTGCCCATCCCGGGCACCGGTCTAGTCCATCTCCATGGACATGAGCCGGCGGCGCTCGCGCCTCGTCTCCCGGACCTCCTTCTTACAACACCAGTGGGAGCTGCAGTACCCGATGAGGCAGGACAGGAGCCCGACGACAGTGGACAGGCCGACGCCGATCAGCAGCGGGTACTTGAAGGCATTTAGCACTGGTGGGGTTGGGGGGTGGGGGGTGGAGAGAGCAAAGGGAAGCCGGGTTAGTGATGCCAGGGAGGTGGCCTCAGGGAAGCCCACCGCCTCCCCTCCCTGCCCGGGCGAGGTCTCCCCCAAAGCGCAGATCTCATTCATCGTGCACCCACCACCGCGCTTGAGACAGGAGCAGCTCAGCCCTCTCTGTCCAAAAAAATGAGCAAATGTCTCCCCACCCAGTTCTAGGATGCGGGTGGACAGGGGGGAGAGAATTTTATCCGATGGCTTTGAATGTCAATTTGCTTTTTAGGGTTTTGGCAAGAGACTGGCTTTTAAAAGTCAGTATAAGGGCACCACACATTCCACAACAGATGTCTCCTTTAAAAAAACCGTATGCAAATCAATTCTATGCATCAACTAACTGAAGTGTACTAGGGGAGCTATTTTAAGTAACACTATAGTAAATGATCTAGCAAAGTGAATAATCAGGCTCTCACTTGTTTGGTAAGTCTGGGTCTTCACAGGGAGTCACTTCAAGCAAGGGACTTCTACAATGTGAATACTGAGTGTCAGGGATGCACTGTTTAGATCCCACACCCCAAATCCCAAGTCACCCCCTTGCAGAAGGACCATCACTCCTTGGGAGGTGCCTGAGATTTAATATGGCTGAATTTTCCAGGAGTGACTCCCATTTCAAGAAGCAAAACCAACATTTGGGCGAGAGTGGCGGGGACCCATTCACAGCCTCGTCTGGAGACCTGAACCAGCTCTCTCGACTATTCTCTGCCTCTGCCTGGCGGAATCCGTGCCAAGCCTAAGACACAGCACAGTGGGTTTGTACAGAAAGCATCAAACCTCTTCCCACTAAGTCTTAAAAATCATGTCCCAGTGGTGCCTCCAGCACATGACACCAAAGCCGGGAAAACAGCAAGGGCTGCTTGTGCTCAGATGTCCGATCCAGGCTCCAGCCAGGTCTAGAGAGAAAGCGGGCTGTGCTGGCAGTGTGGCACGTTCCTCACATGGGGGCACCCTGGATCCTGTCTGCTACAGCACAGCACAGACAGAAGACATTCCCCAAGCCCCGAGAGGATTCTTTGTGTGTGTGTCATTCTTACCATCCATCTTCACAGTTATAAACATGGGCTTGGAGTAGATCTCTGCCTCCTTCTGCCAGGAACCTGTTGCTGACTTCACCCAGGGGATCACGGAGCAGTAGTAATTGCCAAAGTCCTGGTCCTCAGAGCCATGCACTTGCAGCAAGAACTCCAGCACGCTCACACGCTCCAGGCTGAGGTTGCTCTTCCAGTCCCTTTGGGCCGTGGTCACAATCCCCTTCCGGTCCAGGGAAGACAGGAGGACGGGGGCCTTGTCTAGACCGAAGGAGTGCACCGCAAACCAGGACACATCGAAGGCCATGTCATCTGTGGGTTACCAAACCAAAACCCTGGGGTCAGTGCCATGGGCAGGAATTCCACGGACGGCTCACACACATGTCACCCGACTATGGGCCAGCACTGCTCTACTTGCCTGGGCGGCACCAAATACATTGTTCGAGGTCACACAGCCAGGAGCTAGCAGAGCGGGAGGCTTAACCCATGGAGTCCAGCTCCGGAGCCCACCCTCTTAACCATGCCACTGCTCCCACCCAGCCTAAGGAGCACAGGAGGAAGTGTCAGACCCCAACTAACCTCCTAGGGAGGACGCAGGATGTAAAACTCCCTGTCTCCCAAAAAAAGCGGGGTCCTTGGACATGACATGAAAAGTCCTAAGGAGCAAACGGTACGTCAAGTGACTCGTACAAAATGTAGAGTTGTAAACAGTTTAGATTTCAGTGTTCGCTGAGGTCCCCTCCCCACCCCACAGAAGTGCTTAAGTTCAGAACAAGAGGAAAAAAATGTCAAGCTGAGAAAATTGAACACAGTTTAACAGTCCCAGAGAGTAACGCTGCTGAGTCGTAAAGTACTCTGCAAAATTAAGGTTCTAACAGCCTCAAATAAATTAATATGGGCATAAGAGAGAGGAGACTTTGGCACAAGTGGTAATTCTCAAAGAATGTGAAAACAGAGTGTACATCATGAGCTCCTGACCCCTTCTTTTAACTGTTACTGGCTGATATTAGCTGTGTCAGGTCTGAGATTCATACAGCAGGCAAGAGAGGACTGTAAAGCCACAGTTTTATCTTCAATTCGCTTGACAAGGCTTTCTACGCAAATGTTAAATGACACCATTTTTGTTAAACACAGTAATGCTTACTCATTTAGTAAAACTAGACTGTTAATAACCTCAAAAAGCACATCATAAGGTAGCTAAATAGCATTTGGATGCTTGCAAGTATTTCTACAAAATTATCCAAATGACAATTCCTTTTCAACTTGACTCTAAAAATATCAAAGGCCATTGCGAATCTCAGCTCTACCTACAGGGTGACAGCTCTCTCCTCTGACGCTCAAAATACCTTCCTTTTCGTCGTATTGACCCAGTGTGGCACTTGGGCATAAAATTGGATTGTTTCCAGTGTATAGGTCATGTTTTGCCAGGAAGACCAACTCCCTGCGGGGCAGAGGGAGTGCTGTCAACATCGTCACACCCTCCTGGTGCCTGAGCAGAACAGGCACCCAAAAATCACTGTCGTGTACAAAAACTCTAGCTCAGGGCCGCTGTCACTGAGGTCACAGCAGGTGCTTCCAAAAGCAAAAGGTCACACCATACCCTCGTTAGTTGTACCCAGGCTCTAACCCCAGTCCTTACAGTGTGGTGGCCAGGCTACAGGGCCAGGCTACCCAGACTTGACTCCCAACACCAGCACTTGTTAGCTGTGTGACCTGGGGGAGTCCCTTAAATTCACTGTGACTTCGTTTCCTCATCTGTAAGATGAAAATAACGACACCACCATAGTTAAGTTAGTTATCTTTCTAGAATGCTTAGAACAGCACCCGGACCATAGTCAGTGCTCAATAAAAGATGGTTGCCACAGACAACATCCTCATCTCCACAGCTGAACACACAACTCTCTACAAATATTGGGTTGTCGGAAAAGTCATGACGCATGTTTGCGACAGATGGCGCTAGTTCATTTTCGGAAGTACTAGTCATTCATACCAATGTTATTGCTATGTCATTTGACAGCTGACAGTTCTAGCTTCATTCTTAAAAAAAATTGAGCGATTTGGTTGAGTTTTGGAGATTTTACAACAAGTGGAAGATGGAAGACCAAACTGTGCATTTTTGCCATATTTTACTGTTTTACTTCCATAAAGGGAAGAACACGCGTCAAGCTTGTGAAAAGTTGCATAAAGTTTACGGTGACAAGGCTCTACAAGAACGTCAACGATTCATGAAATTCTGTGCTGGTGATTTGATCTCAACGACGCTCCTTGGTCAGGGAGGCCCACCGAGGTTGATGACGACAAAATAAAGGCATTGATCGAGTCAAACCCACGTTACACAACACGAGAGATGGCAGAAACATTAACCATCCATCATTCAAGCGATCACGATCACCTGAAGAATCTGGGATACATAAGCAAGCTTGATATCCGCCTGAACTCAAAGAAGTTCATTTGACGGCGTGTATAAACATCTACAATATACTCACTAAATGTGAGGAAAACGATCCTTTTTTGAAGCGACTGATAACTGGTGATGAGAAGTAAACTGGTTACAACAATGTGTTACACAAACAGTCTTGGTCCTGACGTGATGATTTGCCTCAAATGACATTGAAAGCTGACATTCATCAGAGGAAGGTTATGCTCTCAGTGTGGTGGGATTTTAAAGGTGTCGTTTTTTTCGAGCTCCTACCAAGGAACCAATCAATTCGAATGTGTACTGTTGGCAATTGGACAGTTTGAACGAATCCATCATCCAGAAATGTCCAGAGCTTGTTAATGGTAATGGAGTTGTGTTCCATCACGACAACGCGAGACCATACAGAAGTTTGATCACCCGTCAAAAATTACTGGAGCTTGGATGGGATGTGTTGCCACACCCACCATACTCCCCTGGCCTTGCGCCGTCAGACTTGCACTTGTTTCGCTCTCTTCAAAACTCCTTGCGTGGTATAACGTTCAATTCAGATGAGGCTGTAAATCAGCACCTTGTTCAGTTTTTCACAACTAAAGACAGGTCCTTCTACAAACGAGGAATTATGAAGCTCACTGAAAGATGGCAAAAGGTTATCGAACAAAACGGGTAATATATCATTTATTGATCTTTGTTCTTTATATAAATAAATGACCTTTGAAAAACAGACAAAATACGTCATGACTTTTCCAACAACCCAGTAGGTGCTGCTAACAGGAGGGGGCTCTTGGTGCCCCATCCTGACCTGCTGGTGTGCTGAGCCCCCAGCCGCTGTGTGCTCTCACACCTGGCTGTGCTCCAGAGGACTGGCCTTAGCTGACAGAAGCCACCTCCTGGAAGTGAAGAAATACCCTTATTCTCCAGTCATGCAGACTATGGACAATGACTGGGGGGGATAAAAGCCCAGTCCCTCACGTCAAGGAGGTCATATTCTGTGGTACGACCCGTGCCCCAGAGCTCCCCGTGGGGAGGTAGGCTTGTTTCGAATTCACCTTTGCCTGGCTTCTTTCTCTGCTCTATCTCGATTCCCCTGCTCCCTCAAGGTTTTCCAGAGAGCACATCTTCAATTAATCACTCACACACTTGTCTCAGGCTTTGCTTCCAGAGAACCTGACCCAAGATGGCGCCTGGAAAGGCCACCCTCTGCCCCGTCCCTCCGCCCACCTTGGCATAGGAGCACCTTGGCACTTGGCCCACTGACACAACACGTCCTTTCCAAAAGAGAATTCCATCACAGCCCATAGGATGCGTGAGGAAAAACTAAACCACAAATTGTGTTTAATTATTCAGAATCTTCCACCCACACAGTCCAACAGTGCAAAGTTCTGGAGAAGTGTGACCTGCGAGATTCAGGGCTACCTGCAGCTTTGGCAATTACTCTGGAGGGGAAGACTTTTTATATCAAGGGCACAATTGGTGACCCATTAATTTACTGCGAAAGAGCATTTAAATGATTTATTTTTTGTATATCCCATAAATGAACTTCAAGGGTAAAAATGGTATTATATGATACCAACTTTTAAAAAGATTTCCCTCCCTTTCCCTGGCAGTCTTTGTCTACTTTTACCTTCGTTTTCACTTCCGGATCCTACTTTGCATTCTCAATCCTCTGCACCTCAGGCATAGTCGTCACGGGCCACGTAGTGACGTTGTGGTCAACGACAAACCACATTTATGAAGGCGGTCACATAAGATTATAATGGAGCTGAAAACTCCTACTGCCTGGTGATGACGTGGTGAGTGCATTCCTCTCGTGTCTGTGGCGAGGCTGGTGTAAACAAGCCGACTGTGCTGCTAGTCATATAAAAGTATAGCACCGACAATTCCTGTACCACCTAGGTTTGTGTAAGTGCCCTCTGCCAGCGGATTTCAAACCAGCTTGAATCAGCCCTGGAAGTGGCCCACTGATCATCTTGACAACTCAGATTAAATGTCTGCAGGTGTTTCCAAAATCATCTAACTGACAGATTCATCCATTCAACAGTATTTATTAAACGTCTTCAGAGAACGAAGTCCTGAGCTGAGCAGTTTGGGGATAAACAGACAATCCAATCCCTGACCTCCATGTCAGTGTAACATAGTGGGATGACGCAAGACACACTTACAAAACGCCACATGGGGAGGGAGAAAGGGTGGAGGGACGCACCTGGGTCCAATGTTGCTCCTTCGACAGTGATGATACAAAACAATTTGATCAGATCTCCCCGGATGACGGATGGCGTGTCCGAATACACGGAGGCGTTAAATACAGGACCTAGAAGAAAGTGATGCCGCCTCATTAGCGTCTTTCACACTTCTGTTTCAATTCCATCCTTGATGCTCTAACAGACAGCTATCTAAATGGGCCTCCGTTTCCTTGGAATTGGGCTAGAAACTCACAAAATGGGTGTGCCAAGGTTGCTGTTTTTCTACTGAGAGAGACTCAAGCCTAGGCACATCCCAATGAGCTTCACTGGAAGATTACAACCAAAACAGAACTCTTCCGAAAGAATTCCTTTGCTTACGGCTTTTCGTTTCACCTCTTCTCTGATGACAGCCATAGTTTCATTTGCGGGCCATCCCCACCTCCCACTCAGGTACAGCCTGGGTTGTTTCTGGTTCTGTGTGGTTTATTTCCATCCAGGCCAGATGGCTTGGAGATCAGAAGGATTAGGGCTGAGTCAGGGACACCGGGTCTTGGTGGAGCGGCAGCCGCATTGTGCTGCACGCTGGGGACAGGGGCCCTGAGAGCGGTGGAAATCCAGTAAGGGGACAGACATGCCAACAGTGATGACATTTCCACCAACTGTCATGGGACCACTACAGGCACAGCTCCGATCTGCTGGGGACACTGAGGTGACACGGATACTCCTTTTAAAAACTACCCAGACAGGATTTGTCTGGCACATCTTTCCAAGGACACTCTCTTGATATCCAGTTCACTTTTAAAAAAGACTGCTTTTCCTTCTTCCAAAGCAAGAGACGTTTCTGCCCAAACCATGCTAACTCCCTCCCTCAGAGTACCATCTCTCACTGCAGGCAGTGCCCCCTCTAAGCTTCTGAGTTGTAAGGTAATAAGCCCACATATGAGCAACAAAATATGAAGTGTAAAGGCTGAACACAGTAAGAGAATTACCTGTGGCTCCTGCCCCCTTCTTAGGCAGAGAGAGGGGCCAGTTAGTGCATTTGTTTTTTTAACCCCTTTATGGCTCACTTGTAGGTGACAGAGTGACATGGCTCTAAGCCAACCGGATCCTAAAGAGCCCAACATTTACTGTATTTCCCCATGTATAAGATGCTCCCATATATAAGACACACCTTAATTTTGGGGCCTGAAATTTGAAAAATAATGTGTTACATAAAGTTATTGAACTCAAGTTTTATTCATCATAAAATTCATACAACTCCTCATCACTGTCAAAACTCCCAACCATTAGCTTGTCCTCCTCTGTGTCTGATGACGAATCACTGTCTTCATATATTGCCTCTCATGGCCTTCTTCGGCCGTGGCATTTTCAGTAGTTTCTTCTTCCCATAGCCAGTCTCGGATTGTTTTCTCAGTTGGAGGAGGACCAAACTTACGTTCAGCAGCACGATTTCCATTCACTTTTGCAAACTGGATCACTTTTAACTTGAATTCAGCACTGTACGAAAATCTTTTCTGAGCCATTTCTGGGCAGAACGTGGCAAAACGTAACCTACCATAATATACAGGTAACAAGTGCGAAACAATGAGCGCAAAGACAACAAGCACGAAAAAGTGGAAAATGCAAGAAAAAAAAATCTACAACCACTGTATAAGACGCGCCCAGTTTTTAGACCCCAAATTTTTTGGAAAAGGGTGCGTCTTATACATGGGGAAATACAGTATCTTATCTCCATTCCTAATATCTAGGAACAGGCAAATCTAAAGAAGTTTCCAGAATACCAACGCTAGGGGTTTTCTTTGGGTTTCCTGGGAAGCAAAGATAGATGGCCCTGAACACTGATTCTGAAACTCATTCAAAGCTAAGAATACAAGTGGTACCACACCTTTTAAATCAGATTACCAGAAAGAAAAAAAGTACTTTTTATTTTTTTTAGCTGAGCCATCCTGCCACCTGTTGGCAGCTCAGCTCGGGCCGGGAGCTCACACTCTTCAGCGAGCTCTTCGCCAACTGAGCCACTCGGCTGGCCCAAAAAAGTACTTTTGAAAAAAAATAAAAACATCTAAAAGAAATGACCATGAGAAAGGGAGTACAAGGTCGTATAACCCAATGAGACAAAGAATTGCAAAGGCTGTATTTTCATTTCAGCATCAGTAGTAAGATGAACTCATCAGATTGCTTTCCTAACACCAAGCACATGAGGAATCTGTGTTTTGCTGGGAGGAAGGAAAGGGGCACTGGTAGAATACGGAACATAGAGAGGTCAGGCTGCCCTGGGCGGGTTCTGCTGAGAGTTCCGATTAGCTAGAGAGCAGCAGGTGGGGTCTTAACTCTAGGGGATCAAGCACATAAAGGACAGCACCTGGAAATGGGGAAAGGGATGAAAGCAAAGAGGACAAGGTAACTTTAGCTACTGCTGGACGTCATGCCCTTCAGTTCACTCGGCTCTCAGTCATGGTCCCCTCATGTTCTTACCGCCCTGGGTTTGCTCTGCTTATAGCAGGGAGGTGGCAAAGGATTCATCCAGGTGCTCCAAGCTGGCTTTGTGGTAACGACTGCGGGGACAACTTCATGCCAGATATGGCCATCTGTATAGGTTGGGAGCGCCCATGGTCAGCAATGGGGCCACCTTTTTTTTTCCTCTGACTAGAAATTTCATGGTAATAAAATAGAGCTACACTAAGGGGTTTTCTTAAAGTGTCCAGGCCCCTTCTGAGAGAATATAAAATGGTAAACCATAAAGAGATTCTCATAATGGATTTAGGTTTTATTTACTTAATTTAAACCAGCAAACAGAGACTTAGGTAATTTGGACAAATTTCACTTTCTTTCCTTTATATTTCCAAAGAAAACCTCAAATGCCTTCTGGGTCACAAGGTATAGTTCTCATTTCCCCCAGTGGCTGTGGCTGTGGGAACGAGAGCATTTGCGCTACGGCTCACCATGCAAACAAGGACCAGGGGAAGGCTTTCACTGTGAACTGCTCACAGCGTGGATTTCCGTCTAACGAAACCAACCACTCACTGTTAATGGGGGTCATTATCCCAGGCCGAGAAATATTTTTCTCATGGTCCATTTCTGTGGTCATGCTGTTTTGGTGAGGGGATCTGTCTGGTTAACTTCAGAGGTGACAGACTACGGCACAGAGAATTTAAGTGAACAACCAGAGTCACTAGATGTCCCCAGATTCCTAGTCTGCAGAGAGTACACGGAACACTTGGCTTTGAAATACATACACTGACACAAGCCATGTTCCAACCCCAGCCCCTAAACAAAGGCTGCTAACAGCAGTATTTGTGGGAAAGTGAAAACTACAGACCACCTGCATGTCCATCAATAGGGTGACGGGTAACCAATTCTAGTATGTATAGTCATTTAAGTTGATATTTACCCGGAATATGTTGAAACCTGGAAAATGCTTATCTTATAACGTTAAAGGGGGCAGGCGGGGGGAGCAGGTCATAAAATTGTATGCACAGCCTGACCTCAAAGTCATAAAGACAACATACAAGAGAAAAATTCTAAGAGAAACACCACGAGTGAACAGGTTATATAGGTGATTCTCTTGTCCTTCTTTCTATTTCACTATATTTTTCACATTTTCTCTATTAAGGAGAACACCTTTATTATTATTCTTTTAAAAGACCCAAACCTTTAACATCATCACATTTAGACCATATTTTCCCCTTGATGGTGAAAGTCGTGATTCATTAGAGCCCGTTGGGAAACACAGTCCTCACACCAAGAGCCAAGTGCCCCAGGACCAGGGCACAGAGACACCGGGCAGGGCCTCGCTGGTAGATGTGCCTGACAGCGAGCTGCTGCTTGCTAGGAAGTGATGGCTCTTCGGTATCAAGTCAGTATTTGCTGGGAGCTATTCAGGGCTCTGGCATTTGCTGGTTGCTGGATTTGATGGCAGCTTCTCTTAAACTGTGAACTGGCCATGACAACTCCAGGGATTAAATAACATAAAAGCCTTAGACAGTCTATTCAACCTGGAAGCTAAGGTAGCTTTTTCTGTCATGCTGAGACTTAAAGAATTGAGAAATCAATTCAATCTCCATTCCTCACTTAGAAATACAAAAGATTTTATGTCTCCCCACTTCCTCATAACAGTTTTAAAGAAACAACAAATAAGAAATGTAAAACAACATGGAATCAACTCCTACAGACAGTAAAATGGATATTTAAAAGAGAAAAAAAACATCACCATTTAAATCTTAACAGATACAGAAAAAACATTTGAAAACACCCAATACCTCTTCATGATAAAAGCACTCAACAAACTAGGAATGAAAAGACACTTCCTCAACTCGATAAATGGCCTCTATGGAAAACCCACCACTACCACAACACTTAATGTGAATGACCAAACACGTTCCCCCTAAGATCAGGAACAAGTGCTACTGCTATTCAACATTGTCCCAGGGGTTCTAGCCAAGAAAATTAGGCAAGAAAAAGAAATAGAAGGTATTCAGTTTGAAAAGGAAGAAGTAAAACTATCTTTATTTGCACATGACATAATCTTGTATTTTAAAAATTCTAAGGAATCAACCAAAGAACTATCGTGTTTCCCCGAAAATAAGACCGGGTCTTTTATTAGTTTTTGCTCCAAAAGATGCATTTCATTCATTTATTCATGTATAAAAATCTACATTTATTCAAATAGTCATGTCTGGCTGACGATCTTAACTGGGGCTTATTTTGGGGTAGGGCTTATATTACAAGCACTCTGAAAATCATGCTAGGGCTTATTTTCCGATTAGGTCTTATTTTCAGGAAAACACGGTATTAGAACTAATAAATTCAGGTAGGTTGCAGGGTACAAAATCAATACACAGAAATCAGTTGTGTTTCTATGCACTTGCAATGAACAAACGGAAAAGGAAATTAAGAAAGCAACTGCATTTATAATAGCATTAAAAAGAATAAAATATTTAGGATAAATTTAATGAAAGAACTTAGAGAACTGTACACTGAAAACTACAAAACACCACTGACAAAACTTAAAGACCCAAATAAATGAAAAGACATCCCATGTTCATAGATTGGAAGACAATGCTGTTAAATGGCAATACTCTCCAAATTGATCTACAGATTCAACACAATCCCTATCAAAATTCCAGCTGTCTTTTTTACCGAAATTTATGGGTTGAACCTAAAATTCATATGGAAATGCAAGGGGCCCAGAATAATTAAAACAATCTTGAAAAAGAACAAAGTTGGAAGGCTCAAACTTCTTAATCTCAAAACTTACTACAAAGCTACAGTAATCAAACAATGTGGTACTGGTATAAGAACAGACATATAGATCAATGAGATAGAACCCCGAGTCCAGAAATAAACCCTTACCTTTACGGTTAAATAACTTTTGACAAGTGTGCCAAGACAAGTCAATGAGGAAAAGAACAGACTTTTCACCAAATGATGATAGGACAGCTGGGTATTCACATGCAAAAGAATACAACTGAATCCCTTTCTCATACCACACACAAAAATTAACTCAAAATAGATCATAGCCCAAAATATAAGAGATAAAACTATAAAACTCTTGGAAGCAAACCTAAGCATAAATCTTTACAACCTTAGGTTAAGCAATGGTTTCTTAGATATGATACCAAAGACACAAGCAACAAAAAGAAAAAATAAATTAGACTTCATCAAAGTTAAAAAGTTGGGTGCTTCAAAGAACATCATTAAGAAAGTAAAACGGGGCTAGCCGAGTGGCTCAGTCGGTTAAGAGTTAGCTTAACAGCACGAGCTCTGAGCAACAGGGCAACCAGTTTGATTTCCACATGGGCCAGTGACACTGCACCTGAGCTGAGCTGCCACTGAGCTGCCAACGGGTGGCAGGATGGTTCAGTGGTGAGAGCACGTGCTCCTAACAACAAGACTGCTACGCCCGCCCGCAACTAAGACTGAACTCGGCACCTTGAGCTGAGCTGCTGCCCAGATGGCTCAGTGGATAGTGTGCTCTTAACAAGGCTGCTGGTTCGACTCCCGCATGAGATGGTGGCTATGCCCACCCGCAACTAAGACTGAACTCGGCACCTTGAGCTGAGCCGCCACCAGGATGGCTCAGTGGATAGAACATGAGCTCTTAACAACAAGGCTGCTGGTTTGACTCCCGCATGGGATGGTGGCTACGTCCACCCACAACTAAGGTTGAACACAGCCCTTGAGCTTAGAGGCCACGAGCTGCTGATGGGAAGCCAGATGGCGACTGGCGACCTCCACAACACAGATTGAAGAACAACAACTTGGCTGGTCCCCCTCCCCAATACCTCAACACTGTTCCCCTTCCCCAACTTCCCAATTTTAAAAAAAGAAGATTAAAAAAAAAAAAGTAAAAAGACTACCCACAGAGTTGAAGATGTTTTCAAATTATATATCTGTTAAGAAAGTTGCATCCAGGGGCCGGCCGAGTGGCGCGGTGGTTAAGAGCTGGCTTGGGATGCCAGAGGACCCCGGTTCGGATCCCTCATATGAGGGCCAGTGACACTGCCCTCTACAGCTAAGATGATGAACAACAGCTCAACCTGGAGCTGGGCTGCCGTCAGTCACCGGCAACGGCGTAGGCTGCAGCCCCTGTGGCAGTGGGTTGCCATGGGCTACCGTGTGTAGCCAGCAGCCAGCATGAGCGGCCAGCAGCCACCGTNCAGTGGGTTGCCATGGGCTACCGTGTGTAGCCAGCAGCCAGCATGAGCGGCCAGCAGCCACCGTGAGCGACCGTCCAGAAGCCAGCGACTGATCTGCCTCACCCAGGAAGAGTGCAATAATGGTGCCAACTTGGGCCAGTGAAGCAATGGCCTCCACAACTAGACTGAAGAACAAAAGGACAGCAACTTGTCTGTTCCCCTTCCCCCAATTCCCCAATAAAAATCTTAAAAAAAAAACAGTTGCATCCAAACTCTATGAAAAATTCTACTAGTCAGTGATAAAAAAATGACTCAATTTAAAAATGGGCAAATGACTTGAATAGATATTTCTCCAGAGAAGATATATATACGCCCAACAACTACATTAAAAGATGTTCAACATTAGCAGTAATTAGGGAAATGCAAGAAAACCACAATGAAATACTATTGGGTTGTTGGAAAAGTCATGACACATTTTTGCAATGAAAAACAGAAAAAAATACGTCATGACTTTTCCAACAACCCAATACTTCACACCACTAGGTTGGCTACAATAAAAAAGATGGAGAGTAACAGGGTTAGTGAGAATGTGGAGAAATTAGAATTCTCATACATGGCTGGTGGGAATGTAAAATGATGTAGCTGCTTTGGAAAATAGTTTGGCAATTCCTCAAGGAGTTAAACAAAGTCACCATATGACCCAGCATCACTCCTAGGCGAGAAATGAAAACTTATGTCCACACAAAACTTGTATACTAATGTTTATGTCAGCATTATTCATAACAGCCAAAAGATGAAAACAGCCTAAATGCCAATCAATGGATGAATGGATAAACAAAATGTGATATATCCATACAATGGAATATTATTCAGTCATAAAAAGGAATGAAGTACTGCTGCGTGCTATAACATGGATGGACCTTGAAAACATTATGGTTTATGCAAGAAGCCAATCACAAAATTCCACATACAATATGATTCAATTCATGGATAGAAAGTAGATTAGTGGTTGCCAGGGGCTGGAGGTGGGGGAATGGGGGTGACTACTAATAGGTACATAGTTTCTTTTTAGAGTGATTAATAAATTCTGGAATTATACAGTGGGGATGGTTCAACTCTATAAACATACTAAAAACCACTGACTATTACACTTTGCATGGATGAATTTTATAGTATGTTAACTATATCTCAAAAGAGCCTTTATTAAAAACCAAACAAGCAGATATACAATAAAAGAGAACTGCTTTTGCTGCTCCTTCCAAATCTAAAGAGTTAAGTCAATATCTCTTTATTAAGCTAAAGGTTAAAATTAAAAGATGTCTGAAGATTATTTCACTAAATACTATTAAAGGTTATAATTATACAAAATAGTATTAAATAAAAAACAAACTTTATTAAGGTCTCATTTACCTTAATATAAATGGTAATAATTTAATTCAACAAATACCTTGCATTCATTATGCTAATTCAATTAATACCTGAATTTTTACAGATGAGTATGAATGTATGCATTCGGGAATTTCTAACTGGAATCCAGGGCAGATTTAGTGAAAACACTCAGTTTTAAACTCACAAATGATGATCCTTTACCTTGATATTCTAAATAAGATTGGGGCTCAATGACTTTTAAATTGTCTACCTGCTGAAACACACAAACACCCCCCCACACACACACACACACAAAATTTGTCAGAAAAGCTTAATGAATTACACCAATGAATAAGAATATTTCTATTTGAGAATATGTATCTATGTCATTAAAAAAAAGTGTACCTTTCCACCTTATAGCATAAGAACATTTTACTTCTCAAAGATAAAATCGATTCGGAATCAACATAAAAATGCCCTTGTTTTAATTAACCTTCCCATAGATGAACAGCCCTAGTAACTACTCATAACAATCAGGCTGGCAGATAAATTCATTCATCCCACTGCACCTCTGGCCACTCGACTGATGGGAAATCTCTTTCCAGTCCAAAAGCAAGGTCAGGCATAAGGTTGGGATACTCAGCCCCTGTATAGAAATACTGCTTTGATCAACAGATATAGCCCATGACCTTCAATCCTCGGGACCTGTAAGAGTGATGGCAACAGGGCTGGATATGATTGGGGTCTTCGGTCTGAATCTTCCACTTTTGGAAAGTTATTTAACCTCTCTGAAAGCTCAGTTCCATCCCCTCTTTATTCATACTCCATCATGTTCCCTAAAGACTCTGAAATAGATATTTACCTATTTAAAAAAATAAAGGTCAGGGCCAGCCGAGTGGCTCAGTTGGTTAGAATATGAGCTCTGAGCAACAGGGTTGCTGGTTCGATTCCCACATGGGCCAGTGGGAATCCAAGCTGCGCTGAGCTGGTGAGAGCACGTGCTCTTAACAAAGGTTGCCAGTTCAACTCCTGCACGGGATGCACCCCTCACAACTAAGATTGAACATGGCACCTTGAGCTGAGCAGCCGCGAACTGCCGACGGGTGGCCGGATGGCTCAGTGTGCAACAAGGTTGCCAGTTCAACTCCCGCATGGGATGATGGACTATGCCACCCCCGCCGCCACCCCCATCCCCCAACTAAATTGAAAGCAGTGACTGGACCTGGAGCTAAGCTGCACTCTCCACAACTAAGATTGAAGGACAACAACTTGACTTGGAGCAGATGGGTCCTGGGAAAACACAATGTTCCCTTCCCAAATTCCCCAACAAAAATCTTAAAAAAAAAAAAATATATATATATATATGTATATGTATCAAAACAAGGGTAGTATATTCCCACAAAAATTTGTATGGAAACGTTCATAGCAGCATTATTTCACAATAGTAAAAAAACTGGAATCAGTCAATGGCCACAAGCTGACAAATGGATACACAAAATGTGGTGTGTCCACAATGGAATATTACTCAGCCCTAGAAAGGAATAAAGTGCCGACACATGCTTGTATACAACATGGATGACCCGTGGAAACATTATGCTTAAGTGAAAGAAGCCAGACACAAAGACCACATAGTAAATTCTGCGTGTGTGAAATGTCCAGAATAGGCAAGTTTATAGAGAGTGGTGGCTGGGGGATAGGAGGTTGCCAGAGGTCGGGGGGTAGAATTAAAGGCTGGCAGCTAAGCGGTGTGGGGTTGCTCTAGGGTGTAACGTTTCACAATTGATTGTGGCGATGGTTATATAACTTTGTGAATATACTGAAAGCCACTGGGTTATACACTTTAAATGGGTAAATTGCATGGCATACGAATCATCTCAACAAACCTGTTTTAAAAAAATGAAGACATTGGATCTAAAGAACCCTAGGATCCCTTCTAGCTGAATCTATGATCCCACAGTGTCCCCTGCTCACCTGAGGTTTGGAAGTCTATCTCAATAGGATTGGAGAGGCTGGTTGCTGCTTCTCGCCACAGGCTGCCCCTGACAGGAGACCAAGCTGTCACCATGCAACGGTACAGCCCTGCATCCGACACCTGAGTCTGGTACATTCGATAGCGGAACTCATCCTCCTGCACTTTCTCTAACACAACACCATCCACCCGTGAGGCATCTGTCCAGTTCTCCAGCTTCACCACAGAATCCTGGTCCAGGGAGATGATGTACTTGGTTTCGTTGGGACTGGAGAGGTCCCCGACAGGCTTCTCAGCCGTGATGAGAACAGAGTACCGCGGTGACTTAATATTCTTGGAAGACACTTTGCAAGTCATCTCAAATGTATTTCCTGCAGCAAAGAAAGGCTTTGGCTGCCTCGCCTTCACCACAAGCACGGAATCTGCAATGAGAAAACAGGTGATTTCCAACACATCTGTTAAAATGGACACGTCTCTGCAAGTGCGAGGTCAAGAAAATAGGCATTTATTTGCAAATGGCACAACTGGAAACTCAACCGAACATCACCCTGGAGGAAGCAGAGCAGTCTGAGGTGACTGAATGGGTGTGAGGGAAAAGGGAATTGATGGGTGCAAATTTGGTTTTAAGGATTTTCAGGTCCTTGAGAAGGTTCACCCAGGGCGAGAATTTGGGAAGCTCCTGGTGCGTCCCGGATGTGAGGGGGAGCTCACTCTTGGTGAACTGGGCAAAACCGGCTCCAGGTGATGTTGTTTACCTCTCCTCTCCTCCCCCCGAGGTTCTGCTCAGTTCAGGGGAAGTACTCTTAGCTTAACCAGCCTGCTTGGAAGAGCAGAGCAAGCCAGAAATGGGTTCTCTCTGTTTAATCCCATGATGGTACCATCACAGAACAGATTTTTACTGAAGTGTTGGGAGCACACACTTGTAGATCTAGTCATTTCCACAGAGGTGTTGTTTTAACATTTTGAGCAAATGTCCACGTCTACACTAACTTTAGGCTTAAGTGTGTTACTCCCTGCTTGTCTGTCAAAAAAATAATCCCCAAGTGTATACATATTAGGAGTCACCACTATTGGAATATAGCTCAATGCCAGACACTTGGAAGGTACTTCAATATTTGCTGAATGGATGAATAAATGAATGAAAAACATTCTTTTTATTTTCCAATGGGATGATTAGGTCTACAATCTGTCTAGTTATAAAATGAAATTTTTTGGGAATAGTTGTTCTACCATGGTTCATCAGCAGAATATGTATGTTACAGTGTCTCTCCAAAATCACTGATTCCTGGGGTTCCACTGAGGCACCCATTCTTGATTCTATGAGTTTGGCCACCCATTCATTAATGAAACTAGTACTAATTGAAAGCCTCCCACATTCTAGGCACTGGGAATGTCACAACAAAACATACAGAAATCCTTTCCTTTATATGCTAGTGGAGAAAGATGAATAAAGAAGTAAAATATGCGGATTGGTTAGTGGGCGATAAATGTTTAAGAGAAAATAAATCAGGGAAAGAAGAAAAAAGGTATGGACTTCAGGGGGGCAGGTCCCAATTTTAGTGGCCAGAGATGGCCTCACTGGATGGACATCATCTGAAATAAGGACCCGAGCACCTGTGTTAAATCCTGCTGAGTCAAGTAAGACAACTAATGATTGAATTGAATTTTGCAATAAGTTGATCACTAGCAATCTTACTATCATGAGCAGCGGGGGCAGAAGTGATTAGAGGAGGTACGAGAGGGCATGGGAGGAGAGAAACTGGAGACCTCAAGCAGAAATAAATCAAATACTTAGGCTATACAGTACTGCCCTCCTTATCCAAACAGATACATTCCAAGACTCCCAGTGGATGCCTGAAACTGCAGATAGTATCGAACCCTAGGTACACTGTTTTTTTTTCTATACATTCATACCTATGATGATAAAGTTAAATTTGTAAGTTATGCAATTTTACAGATAGAAGATTTGTTCTTACCCTAGA